CGCGACTCCGACCCCGCAGGCGCCGACCCCGGCAGCCCACCGCACTCACACCCCCAGCCCGCGGCGGGAGCGCCGAGCGGGCGCTGCGCCGCCCCACTCACTCGGCTTCCTGGTGCCGTCACTCCCCGCCGGCAGCTGGTGGACCTCGACGCCGGCGCCGCCGCGCTCCAGCACAGCCAGGCGTTCGCGCGTGCAGCACATCTGGCGCGTCGCCTCGGTCCTCCGGGACAGCGCGCTGCGGAGCGGGTCGGCGCTGGGGAAGAGCCAGAGCTTCGCACCCCGCAGCTCCGCGGGCCGGGACGCGGGGACTAGCCCGGACGCCAAGCGCGCGCCGCCGCCCCGCGACCTCCTCAGTGGCCTCCGCTCCATCACCGTTTTCCCGGGCTCCACGGCAGTGCCTCCGCTCTCCAGACCTTCGGAAGAGACCGAGCTGTGACGAGGCAAGGAAAGGGGGAGACGGCCGCTGCGAGAGCGCCCACGGGCCACGAAGCGTCGCGGTGCGGAGGCGGAACGAGCGCAACGCACGACGGCGTCGAGGACCCGCAGCCTCCCTACCCCGCCCCTGCCCCGACGCCGGGCTTCCAATGTGCTGTTTGGGGGCGGAGCCGGCAGTGTCAGAGAGAATCGAAACTGCCTTTTTTTTTTTTTAAGTGGGCGGAATCGAAAAGGAAAAGTTAAAGGGAAACTCTATGACTCACGACTGGCTCGGACGGTGGCCAGAGTAAACAGGAAGCTGGCCGGTGAAGAGGTGGGTGGGCAGGGCTGAGAAGGTGTCCCCGGGCGGGCAGCAGCCACCTGAACTGGACAAGGTGGCCTTCGAATAAACACTGCAATTCCACTAGGAGGAGCCCTGACACAGACGGACGTGCAGAATTTCCAGAAACTATGGTGGCCCGGAGAGCTGAAATTTGTTAAGCATTCTGTTGGGGGCTCTGCCGCAGTCTCGTGGTGAAACTAGTGCCGTACCGTACCACGGCCCACGCTGCGATCCCTGCAACCACTGATCTGCTGTCAATAAATCTTTGCCTTTTCTAGAGTTTCTTAGGAATGGACTCAAACTTGTGCAGTCTTTTGTGTCTGACTTTTTTCACTTAGCATAAGGCTTTTGAGATTCATCCTGTAGTGTTTCATCAGTAGTTCCCTCTTTGTTATTGAGTGGTATTCTATTATATGGATATACCACAATTTCTTTATCCATTTACCAATAGGCAGGCTTTTCAGTCCTTTCCGGTTTGTGCCCACAGAGAATAGAAGTGCTGTGAATACTGTGAACAAGTCTTTGAGTGGATAAATGTTTTCATTTCTTTCGGGTAAATACCTAAAAATGGAATTGCTGTGTCATATGGTAAGTACATGAATATCATTTTAAGAAACTACCAAACTTTTCTAAAGTGCTATACTATTTTGCATTCCATCCAGCAGTTTATGGGAGCTCCAGTCCCTCTGTATCCTTGCCGACATTTGGTTTGGTCAGTCTTTTTAATTTTAGCAATTCAGGTAGTCTAGAGTACTATCTTATCGCAGTTTTAGTTTCCATTTCCCTAACGGTTAATGATATTTAGCATTTTTTCAGGTGCTTATTAGTGCTGATCTCTGTCTCTTATTTGGTGGTCTGTTCATATCTTTTGCCCATTTATTCGATTGCTTATTATCTAAGGGTTTTTATATGTATAACAGAGTTCTTTTTTAATATTTATTTATTATTTTATTTGGCTCTGCTGGATCTTAGTTGCTGCACATGGGATCTTCCTTGCAGCTTGCAGGATCTTCAGTTGCAGCATGTGGGATCTAGTTCCCTGACCAGGGATCAAACCAGGGCCCCCTGCGTTGGGAGCGTGGAGTCTTAACCACTGGACCATCAGGGAAGTCCCTGTAATACAACTCTTTATGTTACATATAAAGCCCTTTATTAGACATATGTTTTGAAATGTTTCCTACCAGTCTGTGGCTTGCCTTTTGATTTTATTAAAAATGTCATTTGAACTAACACAATATTGTAAAGCAACTATACTTCAATTAAAAAAAAGCTATGATAAAACTAAAACAAAAAAATAAAATTACATGAAAAAATGTCATTTGAAGAGCTTAAGTTTTCATTTTGATGCAGTTTATTCATTTTTTCTTCTTTATCCATTTTTGTTTTTCTCTTACATAGTTCATGCCTTTTTTGTCTTACTTAAGAAATCTTTGCTTGACCCAAGGTAACAAAGATTTTCTTATATGTTATCTTCTAGAAGTTTTATAGCTTTAGGTCTTTGTTACATTTCAAATGAATTATTCTTTATGATGTGAGGTAAGGGAAGAGGTTCATTTTTTTATTCTTATGGATTTCCAACTGTTCCAGTTTGGAACAGTTCCACTGATTGGCGTCTTTGTCAAAACTGTTGGCTATATGTGATTCGATTTACTTCTGGATTTTTATTGTGTTCCATTATCTGTATGTCCATTTTTTTAAAAAAATTAATTAATTAATTTATTTTTGACAGTGTTGGGTCTTTGTTGCTGCATGCAGCCTTTCTCTAGTTGCAACGAGCAGGGGCTACTCTTTGTTGTGGTGCATGAGCTTCTCATTGCGGTGGCTTCTCTTATTGAGGAGCACGGGCTCTAGGTGCGTGGGCTTCAGTAGTGGTGGCATGCGGGCTTCAGTAGTTGTGGTTTGCGGGCTCTAGAGCGCAGGCTCAGTAGTTGTGGTGCACGGGTTTAGTTGCTCCGTGGCATGTGGGATCTTCCCAGACCAGGGCTTGAACCCATGTACTCCGCATTGGCAGGTGGATTCTTAACCACTGCACCACCAGGGAAGTCCTGTATGTCCATTTTTACTCCAGTACCACACTGCCTTGATTACTGTAGATTCTAATTAAGTCTCAAAATCAGTTCACTCAACTGTTCCACCATGGTCCTTCTTCAATGTTGTTTTGCCTATTTTAGGTCCTTTGCATTTCCATATACATTTTAAGATCAGTTTATCAATTTCTACAAAACAGACTGCAAGGATTTTGAAATTGCACTAAATTAGATCAGTTTCAGAAGAACTGACATGCTGATAATATTGATTCTTCTGTCCATGAGCATGTCTCTCTCCATTAATTTAAAGCTTCTTTAATCTCATTCAGCAATATTTTCAAGTTTTCAGGGAACAGTCGAACATATTTTATTAAATTTATCCTTAGTATTTCTTATTTTTTGATGATATTGCAAATGGTACTTTAAAAAAATTCAGTGTATGATTGTTGTGAGTATATATAAATGCAATTAATTTTCATATTGACCTTGAATCCTGACACCTTTCTATATTTACTTAATAGCTCTAGTAGTTTTTTTGTATGGATCCCTTTGAATATCCTACGGATACCCATGTAATTTATAAATAAGATAGCTTTACTGTTTCCTTTCTAATCATTATGCCCTTTCTTTTTCTTAGTTTGCCTTATTGTGTGGACTAGTACATCTAGTACGATGTTGAACAGAAGCGATGACAGACATCTTGGCCTTGTTCCCAATTTTAGTAGGAAAGCATTTGGTCTTTCACCACTAAGTATGAAGTAATCAGGCTGAGGAAGTTCCTAGTTTTCCAAGAGTATTCATCCTGCATGAGTGGCTATTCATCCTGCATGAGTGGCTGTTGAATTTTGTCAGTTTTATTCTACCTCTATTGAGGTAATGATGTGATTGTTTTTTCTATTATAGTGAAATATAATGGATTTTCAAATGCATTTCTGGACTAAATCCCAGTTGGTCACAAGGTAGTATCCTTTTTATATTTTATTGGGTGTTTGACACGTTAAAACTTTGTAGAAGATTTTTGTGTCTGTTCATATGAGAGATGCATGTAGTTTTCTTTGCCTGTAATGTCTTTATCTGGTTTTGGTATTAGGGTAACGCTGGCAACAGAGAATTAAGTGGGAAATGTTCTCATTACCTTTATTTTCTGAAAGAGTATATAAAGAGTCGGTGCTATCTCTTCTCAATATGTATAGTACGCTTCACCCATTTGCCCAGAAAAAGTAATGTTGGAGTTGAAAGGCCTGAAAAACACAACCCAAAAGTCAGGTGCCTAAGGATCCCTAAGATATAGAAGTTACCTTTTCCCTTAAAATTCAAATAGAATACATCTGGGCCTTCATTCCATTTATTGTAGAAACTAGATATATCCAAAATAACTATGGGGATTTGCTGGGGGCTTGTGTTTCTACTAACCACCTTACATTCTAGTGTCCTTGGTGCATTCTCTATGTCTGTCCTGTCTGTCCTCAGATGCCTGCCCTCTTTGCACATCAGCACCCCAGTATGAACTTCACCCCACAGCTTCCTTTCCCAAAGTACCACTGACACAAGGCTTCTGTGTGTGGTTTGGGATGACAATAGGCATTTATAGAATAGCGTACACTTTAAAATTTAATATGAGATAGAAATGGCCCACAAAATTCATTTCCACCATACTTACATCTCTCCTTTAATTCATTGTATACCATGATGCTGAAAACATTTCATGTTCTTCATTTTTGTCCAACTGTAATTAAATGGGAGTTCCTTGTTGGGCTTAGCCTTTAACCAAAATAAAGAATGCTTCTTGGAACACAGCAATTAGCATAAGTCATTATTCATTAAATTAATAAATCCCTTAACATTTAGATTTTTCAAATAGATTGTTTGGCTAAAATCAAAACTCTGGAGACATTCCAGAATATAAAAATATATATCTATGTGCCTCAAAAACATGTTGAATTAGTTTATAGTTTTATTTTTTTGAACTTCAGCATGTCTTTCATATTTGCAGACAGTGTTTATTAGATGTACAATTTTTTTTTTTTTTTAAGGCGGGCCTCTCACTGTTGTGGCCTCTCCCGCTGCGGAGCACAGGCTCCGGACGTGCAGGCTCAGCGGCCATGGCTCACGGGCCCAGCCGCTCCACGGCATGTGGGATCCTCCCGGACCGGGGCACGAACCCGCGTCCCCTGCATCGGCAGGCGGACTCTCAACCACTGCGCCACCAGGGAAGCCCCCTAGATGTACAGTATTTTAAAAATATCTGTTAGCTTTTAACATTTAGTATATTTTTAAATGATAATTATTGTTCAGGAAGTAATTCAGTAAAAAGCAAGCATTCTCATAGCAAGTTTAAGGATCAGGAAATGTTGATTCATTAAAAATGTTATCCTTGACTCATCATGTTATTGTTTATCCCAGCATTTGTCAGCTTATTCTAACTAAAATCCGTCAACACTTTGTACTAAGAAAAACAGAAGGATCGAAGGGTGAGAGAACCTGAGATCTGAGCCTCTCAAAGGTCACTATGACTCTGTGACCGTGGGTGACATAAATCCTTTGTTGCTGTTGATGGCTACTTGAAGTGCTTCCTCCATTCTTTCCATTGCAGAATATTTAGGGAGGTCCAGAATATTATGACAGGTCAGTGATCTTGAGAAATCTCTTTCACTGAAAGTTTCAGGACAGCGAAATAGGATTCCCACCTTCCGTATGCTTTTTACATGCAGCCTTTCATTTCCTGTAAGAAAAACTAAAAAGAAATAAACTTTGGTTAAGAGAGGTCATAGGAAGAGCAAAACTTAAAATGAAACGGAAGAAATCAGTCACTTCACTCAACAAATATGTATTGGGTCCCCTTGTGCAAAGAGAACTACATGGGACCATGTGGAGTGAAAAAAAATCATGACATTTGGTCTTGGTCCTTGATCTAGTGAGTTCATGATCTAGTTGAGGGGAAATTATATACCTGAAAATATAACAGCAAGATACAAGGAAGTTTAGTTTAGCTCAGCTATATGAGGAGCTAACTCAAGGCAGGGAGAGAGGCTGGGGTGACAGGGAAGCTTCAGAGGTCACAGCTGGCTAGTCAGTTCTCAAGGAGATGAGCTGGGTGCCATTCTAGGCAGGGGGAAAAGCCCAAGAAAAAGCCAGGGGCAGGAAAATGTAAGTGAACTCACTGAACGTACAGCCAACAGAACCACTGGACTGGGCTTCCCTGGTAGCACAGTGGTTAAGAATCCACCTGCCAATGCAGAGGACACAGGTTCGAGCCCTGGTCCGGGAAGATCCCACATGTCACAGAACAACTAAGCCTATGCACCACAACTACTGATCCTGCACTCTAGAGCCCACGAGCCACAACTACTGAGCCCGTGTGCCACAACTACTGAAGCCCACGCGCCTAGAGCCCATGCTCCACAACAAGAGAAGCCACCGCAATGAGAAGCCCATGCACTGCAACGAAGAGTAGCCCCCGCTCGCCACAACTAGAGAAAGCCCGGGCGCAGCAACGAAGACCCAACACGGCCAAAAATAAATAAATAAAATAAATTAAAAAAAAAAAAGAACCACTGGACTGAAGCAAAAGTTTCCCATTAAGAGAGAAGACTGGGGCTTCCCTGGTGGCGCAGTGGTTGAGAGTCCGCCTGCCAATGCGGGGGACACGGGTTCGTGCCTCGGTCTGGGAAGATCCCACGTGCTGCGGAGCGACTGGGCCCGTGAGCCATGGCCGCTGAGCCTGTGCGTCCGGAGCCTGTGCTCCGCAACGGGAGAGGCCACAACAGTGAGGGGCCCGTGTACTGCAAAAAACAAAAAAAAAACATTAAATCTAAACTATAATCTGGCTTTCATTAGTACTCACAGAAAAACGTATGCCAAGTACTTCTTTAATGCATCAGCTTCATCATTTAGAACTTCTTACTTGGTTTAAAACATTATATTTATTATTCTTGTAAAATTTCAAAAGAAATAAATGTTCAATGGAAAAAGTTATGGACAACTTAGAAATGTATAAAATGCCATGTAAATTTCTTCTCCTCCACCTACCCACTCCCTCTTCCTGGAACTAACCTCTATTTATGGTTTGATTGGTAGACCCACTGCTAACACAGACACTGCGGCGTCGTGGTGGAAATTATAAAAAGGAGCCCCTTCCTCTAGACCAGTCATTCTCAACCAGGGGTGGTTTTGTCCCCCAGGGAACATTTGGCAAAATCTGGAGACATATTTGGTTGTTAACGACTGAAGGGAGTTTTGCTACTGGCATCTAGTGGGTAGCAACCCCATAGGCTGCTAAACATTCCTACGATGTCCAGGTCAGCGCTCCACAACAAAGAATTATCCAGCCCAAAATGTCAGTATTGCCGAGGTTGAAAAACCCTGCTCTACACTGTCAGAGCACATGGCGTCAATCTAGCCAGTTTATTCTTCCGATAACAATACATGAGAAGAGAATACTTCCCCCCCATCTGCTGCCAACTCTACATTTTATGAGAAACTTTTAACAGTTGTCAATCTGTAAGCAGACAAATATCTCATTTGCATTTGCATTTTCTTGATTACTAGAGAGGTTGAGCATATTTTCATTTTATTATTATATATACACACACACATAGCCATATCTATATCTATATCTATATCTATGCATCAGAGATATTAATCCTTTGTCTGTCATGTGTGTTCCCAGTATTTTCCTCACAGGATATAGTTTGCCTTTTAACTTAGAACAAGTATTTTTCAAACCTTAAAAAATAAAGTTGATGACACGCTGATTTATTCAAATAAATGAAATGATTAACTAGGATTTATTTAAAACAAATATAGCATGCATGATTCTCATTAAGAAGATCATGTACTATCCAAAGCGACTGCTTCCATCTGGATAAGTTCGAGAGACCAGGCCAGAGCTCCGTTTACTGTGCTGGTTGATAATTAAGGGGCATTTGGCTTTTCTCCATTTCTAAATGTTTACTTGATTATAAGTCATGCCAAAATCCAAATTCATCTAAAGAGCATGCACAATTATTGAAACTGAAGACCTTGTCTGTGTGTATAACATTATTTATATTTAAACTACTGAGACTGACTCCATATATAGTCCTAGAAAAGCCATTATATTTACTTACTTCCCCAAAAGAGGACTGAGTTCTTCTAAATCTTCTAATGATGGCTCTTGGTCCAGAAGTTTCTTAAACAGACCCAGTGGGAAAGGGAGGTTGACAACGTTAAAATTGTACAATAGAGTCTACACAGCATCCCAAAGAAGAAATATCTCTTCTTCCCAAATTTAGGGGGGAAAAGGAGAAGGAAAAAAATCCTTAATGTATTATAAATAATCAATAATCCAAAGGGATAATTAGATTAGTAAAAAAAAGGTTTGCTTCCCTTTTCTAAAAGTCAGAAATTAGAAACAAAATGGGCTTCAGGAAAATCAAAATTTGAGGTTCTTACACAGGCTATAATACAAAGTAAATTTCTTCCATAAGCTAAAATACAAATTTTAACAGTTCAGGATACTGAATAAATGAATTTGCATTTTGTTACTAATAGCACATCTGGAATATGAAAAAACATGCTCAGATAGCCTTATAAACCAAGGTTTTCACTATTTAATTTTACAGTCTTTGTCTTCAAATTCATGTACAAAAATGACACCAGGAAGGAAGGGTACACTTTATCTACACCTGCAGTGGGCACCAGGCATGTCAGGTGTGTGCCAGAGGAGTGTTCCCCTGTGATGCAGCCTCGACCTAGACGTGCTTACAGGGATAAGCATATGGGTCAGGGAAGGTGACCGATGCCGTTGACTGTGAGGGTCTGTGGAAAGGAAGGAAAAAGTCCTGATGAAATCTCTTAAATTTGTATAGTGCCCTAAAGTTTTCATGGTGCTTCACACTTTGATATACCTTGTTTTGATCTCACAGCACCTCTGGAAAGCAGGCAGAACAGAAATTATGACAGTTGTTTTATAGGTGAGGAAACTGAAAACTCAGAGAGGCTAAATTACACAGCCATCAGCACTCAAGACTAAACCTCTGGGTTTCTAATCCCACATGGTTGCTTCCTTCCCTATCCTACTGTGTTTCTCAACAACTATTACACTTAAAATCAGCAGCCTATAATTTCAAAAAATTGCTGAAGTTCCTGGTGTTTTAGTCTTATCGCTCCATCTACATATATAAAAATTTCAAGAGGAAAGAGACTGTGTTACACACTAACTTGAATCTTCTACAATATTTAATACAATGTGGGAACCTCAAGAAACAGTCAGCAAAACTTGTTGATTGATAAAAATCCTACCACTGGCACACCTTGGCCATTCCTATCTTTTAGAGGTTCATTCTTTCTCAGAAAGATACAAAACAGGGCTTCCCTGGTGGCGCAGTGGTTGAGAGTCCACCTGCCGACTTAGGGGACACAGGTTCGTGCCCCGGGCCGGGAAGATCCCACATGCCGCGGAGCGGCTGGGCCTGTGAGCCATGGCCGCGGAGCCTGCGCGTCCGGAACCTGTGCTCCGCAACAGGAGAGGCCACAGCAGTGAGAGGCCCGCGTACCGCAAAAAAAAAAAAAAAATCTGGGCCTGCGATTCTTCTTTTCTAACAGCTCCAGGTAATGCTGGAGCTTCTGCGCTGTGCAGAGTGTTTTGAGTAGCAAGGCTTTATGTGACCTAATTTCACATTAGTATATGTTGTGTTCGTGTTACAGTATATGGTATACTTTTTTTGTTCTGAAAAACCATAAGAAAACAAATAAAAAACTTACATTGACAGGAAACTGCACGTAGGAACCCTCTTCAGGATATATGAACATCCCATATTCTTTCTTGGTCATATCTTCAAATATACGGTGGAAGAACTCGGACTGCACCCCTTCTCCCACAGGACGAATTTCTTTAATAAATTCAACCTGAGGAAAGAGAACACAGTCCCAGGTCCAGATTTAAAATATAATGCCTTGACCTTTACGGAAAAGTTTCAAACCTGCCATCACCAGGATTCCCAGAATCTGCTCTCCTTACCTAACTGTGCTCTGCTCTCCCTCGATCTGCTTCTGAGCAGCGGATGCCATGAACCTAGTTACTGTCAGATTACTGAATAGTGAGTGCATGGGTCCCTTCCACGGCTACGTGAACCAAGTGAAGCGGGATTCTAGCGAGGCTCAGCATTCTCCAGTTATGTCGACCCGTGTCTTGAACCAAATTTTGATGTGCTTCAAACCCCTGGGCCACTAAGTTCCTCAATTCTTCTATCTTGTTTATCTTCCTCTAATCATTCAGGCTTTAAAACCTGGGCTCCAGTCAACAATTATTTGGTTTCTCCTGCCTCTCCCCTCACTAGGACTTAAGATAAACAGCCCTCCCCATCAGCCTGGGCATGACACCTTTGTAGGAACCTTCAGAGCTGACTGCCCAGAATGCTCTTGTGGGCGTCAATAAGAACAGGTCCCTCTTTTCTAAAGTCTATCTCTGGGCTTTGTACTTGAGTGCTGTCCTGGGTTTCCTACTACCTCTCTAACTACTCCTTCCATCCTTCCCTTTCTGTCTGTTTCTTTTTATCTTTTTAATACAAGTCTCAGCAAGCTTCACTAAGAGTTCTCTTTCTCTTCTGTTTGCCTAGAAGATCTTACTGGCACTGTGATCAACCAACTCCTTGGCCACTGTCCATCATCTCCAAGGGCCTGCCTCACATTCCATCCAGAGATCCCAATAATAAATTAAACTTGCTTCTGATTTTCCTATTTCTGCTCATTTACACTAGCAAGTCCACCTTTGCCACGGTCAGGACCTGCTCATAAAGGGCCTTGACAACCTTGCCTTGTTCAGAGTCTATATTTTGATTGGATTTGTCTTGAAGTTTGCCTTCTTACCTCTTTGTCATCTCCTGCAGGCAGAATCATTTTCTATTGATTTCCTCATAATGAAAATTTGAAGGAAAATAGGTACAGAGGGAGACAACAACTAGAGAGTCTGGCTTATAAAATAGTTTCTGTGTTTTCCATTAGAGTCCCTATGCTGGGGAGCATACCTCTCCTCTCTGAGGCCCACCCTCAGGTTCTGACTTCTCTGAGAACTTAACTCTTCCCCTCATGGCTGATATCAGGAAAAGTCCCTCCCTTCTGGACAGATGCCAGCCCTCACCTACAAAGTTAGTCATTATTCTGTGGGCAAACGATCTGAGGTACCGCACAGTGAAAACCCTACAGGTGCCCACAAAGGGTGAAGTGAAGGATGCCGAGAACTGGAACCAATATACTGGAAAGTCTACGACTAAAACTAGAGCCAAAAGGTAGGATAAGTACCTGTTGCACCTGCTGCTTGCTGATCGCATTCACAGCCCCAATTCTCCACCCCTCCTTGACCCAGGTCTCTTGTGTGTGACTTTGCAGGTCCCCTCATTAAAGAGCCTGAGTATATTTTGCCAGCCCTTGACCTGAGCTCAGCCATGTGACTTGCTTTGACTAAAGCAATGTTTGTCATGTGACTGGGCTTCCTGTCTTGTACCTCTGACAACGCTGTGAGAACATGTTTGCGGGTCCCAGGAAGAAGATGGAAGACGTAGGAACCAGGGCCCCGGGCCAAACTGCCGTAGGCAGGCCTAGCCTAGATCAGCCAATCCCTAGCTAACTCGCAAACAAGTACACAAGTATAGACAAAACCTGCAAAGCCACCCAGATGAGCTCAACTTAGATTAGCAGACCCTCAGCTGAATCGCAGATCTATACAATTATTATTTTAAGTCACTGTGCTTTGGGACGGTTCATTAAGCAGCATTTCTGTAGCCATAGGTAACTAATAGTTAACTCATAGCCCCAGTGTTCAGTTAAACACCCCATAGCTTTTCTCTGAAGGGGAAGCAAGGAATCCTGGAAACCATTAGGCTGATAACTATAGTTGCAAACATGGGCTCTTCCTGTGCTACGTTATATAAATTTTTCCCTCCCACATTGGTAAACGTATCCAAGGAGGCTTTTTACTGCATCACTGATATTTTCCGGAGGTCAGTGACTTCAGCTTGGCTTAACTGACGCAGAGCATCTTCAACTAGGTGACTCTGTCTGACTCCAAGTGTAAGTGGAGGGGATTCATCCTTTCCTTGCAGAATTATTTGCCCAAAATCCATGCAGTCTATCCCTTCTGATTCCTAGAAAAAGAAATATTTTAGGAATCCTCATAGGAATAGTAGGAATTGTTTAATATTTCAAATAAACATATTTTATATAGCACACATTTATGCCTACCATTGCTATATACACTCATATTGTAATTATTTAAGGAAAAGAACATCGTATCTATATTATGGGAGATAAAGAGATGGCAGGATCTGTGGCATCTAGGAACTGTATATAGGGGATTACTCACCATGGATGTACAGCTAAGTAGTCTCAGATCACTTATCATAGGAAACATAATCCTTACAGGCAACAGTGGTATTAAACATGCTGAAGCATTCATCTGGTGTCATCCACTTCGCAGTCTTGCCACCATAATCCTCAAAAATATAAGGGCAGGGCTTCCCTGGTGGCGCAGTGGTTGAGAGTCCGCCTGCCGACGCAGGGGACACAGGTTCGTGCCCCGGTCCGGGAAGATCCCACATGCCGCGGAGCAGCTGGGCCCATGAGCCATGGCCGCTGAGCCCGCGCGTCCGGAGCCTGTGCTCCGCAACGGGACAGGCTGCAACAGTGAGAGGCCCGCGTACCGCAAAAAAAAAAAAAATTAATTAAAAAAAATAAGGGCAGTGGAGGAGCTCAGATGTGTCAGATGTAGGAAGAAGACTAGAGGAAAGGCTTTCCCAGAGAAAATCCACTCCTCTACTTCAAATACCTGTGATCCATCTACTGAATTTGCATAGGAACTCCCTAAAAAGATGTCACTGGTGGCCTCATTTTGTAGCTAGCATTCTTCTTGGCCACCCAATACAGTACTTCCATGTAGCTTTTCTGAATTCTCAACATTTCCTTACCAATTTAGTCCCATAATCTTGATTCTGCTGAACTCCCTTGGATTAGAAATCAGGTGTTGGACTTGCTATCCTTGCTTTGACCTCAACACTCCTCTAGGGCTTCTGCTTTATCCCAAGGACAGTAAAGGAGTATTTAGGATTTATAAACCAATGCAACCCTCTTGGGGCCTGTCCTGCAATAGTGACAGCAAGACAGGTGGATAACAGCTGTGCTATCCCAGGTTTCCAGGCTGAGTGTGGTTGCCCATATAAGCCCTCTACCAGAATCTGAGACAAGTGTGCCTGTGGCTCTAGGCTTGGGAAAGCCCTGTCCCAGACCTCTGCCACCACTAAGTACTGGGACTGTGATACATGATGCTCCTAGATTCTTCTGCTTATTCCTTAAGATGTTTGTTGTAAAGAAATTCCAGGTTTGCAGGGAAATGGAAAAGTGCCATTTCTGGTCCTTCCTGCTGGTGGGTCTTCTCTTCCTTTGGTCCAGGAGTCTGCAGCTCTGGGATGCGTCGTGATTCTGACTGCCGAGCAACGTGTCCTGCGGCTCTGAGTGACACGGAGTGTCCAGCAAAGCCCTCCACTGACTATAGCAGGGAGAGGTGTATGTGGCCTGTTGTAGGCCCCCCTTCTGTCACCTAGCCAAGAACTGGACTGGAAACCTGCAGCTTAACTTATTTTCCAGTTCCTCTACTCCCATTCTCCATGTACTGGTTTCCCCTCTCTACATTTATGCATTTGAATTGGTAATACAGTTCGGAGCTTACAATTTTTACTACATCCATCATCTCTCCCTTGGAAGACAGGATTCTGGCGTATGCTTTCTAACTTCACCCTTGACAGCTACAACTAGAGTTTTCTTGTCCTCAAATCTTCCCTAATGCTTCATAATATGCAACCTGCCTGGGTCCACTGTCCACGCAACCCTCATTAACACAGTAGATAGGTTAGATAGAGCGCTGCTGTAGAAGAAAGTACCATGTAGGGAAGGACTTTTTTAAAGGACACTTACGGGGCAGTTAGGCTTCTCAAGGAAAGACAATCTATTTTCTCTCATTACCAGGGATGTTAGGAAAATTTTTAAAAGGGGTAGCTGGGAAACAAAAGAGGAGATGATTCAGTCAAATCTCCTTGTAAACATGCTGATGACAGACACTAATAACCTCAACTAAAGGAAGAGTCCTTATTTACAGAATGCTTTTAGCAGGATGTACCTTGTCCATCTAGGTTGCTTATTATAAAGAAGCATGGAATTTATAGATTTATGGGGCATGGCTTACTGGAAAATGTCATGTAAGCTATATAATTAATAGGGTACATAAAGGAAATGTTTGATAACTGAAATGGCTCATTTTGTGCATGTGATGTCCCAGACCTCTCCATGTCTCACCATGTGAGTCTTTAAAGTACAAATATCATAGATAAACAGATACAAACCTTTCCTGAGGAATGGCCTAGAAAACAAGCCTCAGCAATCAAGAAAATGTTTGGGAAATCTTCAGCATAATGTCTGGGGGTAGGGGCTGGGATGAGGATTATAGATACATAACTAAAAGCTCAGGCTGATGGCGATAAGAGACACAAAACAGCATGCAAATGTTGTGTGGGAACAATACAGCTACGAGAGAAGAAGCAGAAGGGAGAGTAAGTGGAAAGCAGAATAAACTCACTGAATAAAGAAGATGTGGCACATATATACAATGGAATATTACTCAGCCATAAAAAGAAACGAAATTGAGCTATTTGTAATGAGGTGGATGGACCTAGAGTCTGTCATACAGAGTGAAGTAAGTCAGAAAGAGAAATACAAATACTGTATGCTAACACATATATATGGAATTTAAGAAAAAAATGTCATGAAGAACCTAGGGGTAAGACAGGAATAAAGACACAGACCTACTAGAGAACGGACTTGAGGATATGGGGAGGGGGAAGGGTGAGCTGTGACAAAGTGAGAGAGTGGCATGGACATATATACACTGCCAAACGTAAGGTAGATAGCTAGTGGGAAGCAGCCGCATAGCACAGGGAGATCAGCTCAGTGCTTTGTGACCACCTAGAGGGGTGGGATATGGAGGGTGGGAGGGAGGGAGATGCAAGGGGGAAGAGATATGGAAACATATGTACATGTATAACTGATTCACTTTGTTATAAAGCAGAAACTAACACACCATTGTAAAGCAATTATACTCCAATAAAGATGTAAAACAAACAAAAAAAGAATAACCTCACTGAATGACTCACAGGCACTATCCAGGAAGAAGAGATACCACTTGCGGCTTACAAATCAAGCTCCAAGACTCTTAAGCAAATATGAAAATCGAAAGACTAACACTAAGAACAGAGTAGTAACTAAAACTGGATTGAGGAAGAGAATGAAGGGAGTGGGAAAGAACAGTTACTAGATAATTTCAGTATTCCTCATAGTAGAAGAACAATGAATATTAACTAAAGAGTATGAGGATTCAGGGACTTCCCCGGTGGTCCCGTGGTTAAGAATCCACCTTCCAATGCCGGGGACACGGGTTCGAGCCCTCTTCGGGGAACTGGGATTCCCACATGCCGCAGGGCATCTAAGCCTGCGTGCTGCAACTACTGAGCCCATGCACCACAACTAGAGAGCCCACGCACCACAACTAGAGAGCCCACGTGCCGCAACTACAGAGCCCACGCACTCTGGAGCCCACGCCACAACTACAGAGCCCACCTGCTCTGCAGCCTGCATGCCACAACTTGAGAGAAGCCCGCAGGCCACAACTAGACAGGAGCCCACGCACTGCAACGAACAGCCCGCACGCCACAACTAAGACCTGACGCAGCCATAAATAAATAAATTAAAAGAGTATAGGATTCAGGCATTATGTAATAATAAGAAACATAATTAAAATTAAACTGAAAGGTCATGATTAAGCCATCATATCTGGAAAAGATCACAAAGCTTAGTAACACTGCATCGGTGAGAGTGTGTGAAAGAGGCTTTTCATACGTTGCTGGTAGCAACATAAGTTGGTACAACCACTACATACAGTAATTTGGCAACATTTAATTATTAAAGGAAAAAGATTAAGCATCATTCTACCTTCATATATGACTGATATTTTTCAGGGTAACCAAATGGCCCTGACTGACAAGGAAAAGTTCTTTACAGAATTCCAGTTAATAATTTTGGAAGGAATGATAAGATCAGAAATATCACCATTTTTCAAACTTTAACAATGCAATGGATTAAATTATTCATTAAAGGTTGATGGAATGCATGTATCTTTTCAAATTCAACTATATACACAGGAGTGGAATTTCTGGGTCATATGGCAATCTCCCAATTCATCCCATCCCCACCTTTCCCCCTTGGTATCCATATGTTTGTTCTCTACCTCTGTGTCTCTATTTCTGCTTTGTAAATAAGATCGTCTATACCACTTTTTTCAGATTCCACATATGTGCATTAATATACGATATTTCTTTTTCTCTTTCTGACTTACTTCACTCTGTATGACAGTCTCTAGGTCCATCCATGTCTCTAGAAATGACCCAATTTCATTCCTTTTTATGGCTGACTAATACTCCATTGTACATATGTACCACATCTTCTTCATCCTTTCCTCTGTTGATGGACATTTACGTTATTTCCATGACCTGGCTACTGTAAATAGTGCTGCAATGAACACTGGGGTGCATGTGTCTTTTTGAATTCTGGTTTTCTCTGGATATATGCCCAGTAGTGGGACTGCTGGGTCATATGGTAGTTCTATTTTTAGTTCTTTAAGGAATCTCCATACTGTTCTCCATAGTGGCTGTATCAATTTGCACTCCCACCAACAATGCATGAGGGTTCCCTTTTCTCCACAGCCTCTCCAGCATTTACTGTTTGTAGATTTTTTTGATGATGGTCATTCTGACTGGTGTGAGATGATACCTCATTGTAGTTTTGATTTGCATTTCTCTAATAATTAGTTACGCTGAGCAACTTTTCATGTGTTTGTCAGCCATCTGTATGTCTTCTTTGGAGAAATGTCTGTTTAGGTCTTCCACCCATTTTTTGATTGGGTTGGGTTTTTTTTTTGATATTGAGCTGCATGAGCTGTTTGTATATTTTGGAGATTAGTCCTTTGTCAGTTGTTTTGTTTGCAAATATTTTCTCCCATTCTGAGGGCTGTCTTTTCATCTTGTTTATGGTTTCCTTTGCTGTGCAAAAGCTTTTAAGTTTAATTGGGTCCCATTTATTTATTTTTGTTTTTATTCTCATTACTCTAGGAGGTGGGTCAAAAAATATCTTGCTGTGATTTATGTCAAAGAATGTTCTTCCTATGTTTTCCTCTAAGAGTTTTATAGTATCTGGCCTTACATTTAGGTCTTTAATCCACTTTGTGTTTATTTTTGTATATGGTGTTAGGGAGTGTTCTAATTTCATTCTTTTACATATAGCTGTCCAGTTTTCCCAGCACTACTTATTGAAGAGACTGTCTTTTCTCCACTGTATACTCTTGCCTCCTTTGTCATAAATTAACTGACCATAAGTGTGTGAGTTTATTTCTGAGCTCTCTATTTGGTTCCATTGATCTATGTGTCTGTTTTTGTGCCAGTACCATACTGGTTTGATTACTGTAGCTTTGTAGAATAGTCCAAAGTCAGGGAGCATGATTCCTCCAGCTCTGTTCTTCTTTCTCAAGATTGTTTGGGCTATTACGCATCTTTTGTGTTTCCATACAAATTTTAAAATTACTTGTTTTAGTTCTGTGAAAAATGCCATTGTTATTTTGATAAGGGTTGCATTGAATCTGTAGATTGCCTTAGTTTGTATGGTCATTTTAACAATATTGATTCTTCCAATCCGAGAATACAGTGTATCTTTCCATCTGTTTGTGATATCTTTGATTTCTTTCATCAACGTCTTACAGTTTTCAGAGTACAGGTATTTTGCTTCCTTAGGTACGTTTATTCCTAGCTTTTTATTCTTTTTGATGTAAATGGGATTGTTCCCTTAATTTCTCTTTCTGATAGTTCATTGTTAGTGTATAAAAATGCAACAGATTACTGTATATTAATTTTGTATCCTGCAACTCTACTGAATTCATTGATGAGCTCTAATAGTTTTTTGGTGGCATCTTTAGGATTTTCTATGTATAGCATCATGTCATGGGCGAACAGTGACAGTTTTACTTCTTCCTTTCCAATTTGGATTCCTTTTATTTCTTTTTCTTCTCTGATTGCTGTTGCTGGGACTTCCAAAATGATATTGAATAAAAGTAGTGAGAGTGGGCATCCTTGCCTTGTTCCTGTTCTTAAAGAGAATGCACTCAGCTTTTCACCATTGGGTATGATGTTAGCTGTGGGTTTTTCATATATGGCCTTTATTAAGTTGAGGTGGGTTCCTCTATGCCCACTTTCTGGAGAGTTTATATCATAAATAGATGTCGAATTTTATCAAAAGCTCTTTCTGCATTTATTGAGATGACCGGATGGCTTTTATTCTTCAATTTGTTAATGTGGTATATCACATTAATTTGTGTATACTGAAAAATCCTTGCATCCCTGGGATAAATCCCACTTGATCGTGGTGTATGATCCTTTTAATATATTGTTGGATTTGGTTTGCTAGTATTTTGTTGAGGATTTTTGCACGTATGTTCATCAGTGATATTGGCCTGTAATTTTCTTTTTTTGTGGTATCTTTGTCTGGTTTTGGTGTCAAGGTGATGCTGGCTTCATAGAATAAGTTCCGAAGTGTTCCTTACTCTGCAATTTCTGGAGTAGTTTGAGAAGGACAGGTGTTAACTCTTCTCATAGCAGCATTATTTACAATTGCCAATATATGAAAGCAACCTGTGTCCATCAATGGATGAGTGGATAAGAAAGATGTGGTATATATATACAAAGGAATACTACTGAGCCATAAAAAACAATGAAATCTTGCCATTTGCAGCAACATGGATGGACTTGGAGGGCATTATGCTAAGTGAAGGAAGTCAGACAGAGAAAGACAAATACTGAATGATATCACTTATATATGGAATCTAAAAAATACAACAAACTAGTGAATAAAACAGAAAAGAAGCAGACTCACAGATAGAGAGAACAAACTAGTGGTTACCAGTGGGGAGAGGGAAGCAGGGAGGGGTAATATAGGGGTAGGGGAGCAAGGGGCACAAATTATTAGATATAAAATAAGCTACAAGCATATACTGTACAACATGGGGAATATAGCCAATAGTTTATAATAACTATAAATGAAGTATAACCTTTAAAAATTGTGAATCATTATATTATACACTTGTAACTTATATAATATTGTACACCAACTGTGATTTAATTATTTATAAAAAGTTTGATGGGAAATACTACAATGGAAGAATGTGTTCACCACCTGAACCCACTGATTAATCTCAGCATGAACAAAAGTGAAGCAACCAGAAATAATGTACTGAAGTATGGCGAGGTGAAAAGAAATTGGGCCTGGGATTTGCTTTAAAATATTACACTTTAGCAAAAATAGTAACAATTACAAAAATAACAAAAATGACAAATGAAGAAAGTATGGCAAAATGTTAATGATGGCTGAAAATTTGTGCTGTGGTTTAATACAGCATTATCTATATTTTGTATATGTTTGAACATTTTACATAATAAAAAAGTAAGACATACATACCAGCATTTTTATATGGGAATCAGCTTGCAATAATTTAATTTTGGAGAGCAAATTAAAGTCAAATAGAGGGCTTCCCTGGTGATGCAGTGGTTGAGATTCCACCTGCTGATGCAGGGGACACGGGTTCATGCCCCGGTCCGGGAAGATCCCACATGCCGCGGAGCAGCTGGGCCTGTGAGCCATGGCTGCTGAGCCCGCGCGTCTGGAGCCTGTCCTCCGCAACGGGAGAGGCCACAACAGTGAGAGGCCCACACACCGCAGAAAAACGAAAAAAAACAAAAAAAAGACAAATGGAAAATCACTGAAAGTAATGGGACTGAGGTTTTCTGTAGGTATCTAATAATTAAAAAGAGATAACAGTTTTGATAATCAAAAGAAAAGGAAAACTTCATTCATTCCTTTACCTCACCACCTTAAATTATTTAATTCCACACTTTTTAGAATTTGTAAGAATCTATATTAACTAGAAACCAATTTCTAGGAAAATGCATTTGTTTTGTGACTGAAAGGTGTTTAAGTTTTCCATGATCATCTACTTTAGCAAATTCAACACTGCAATGAGGAAATTTTCAAATCTTAATTTATCAGAAAAGATACCTACCTAGCTATTAACGTGTTCTCCCTTTAAAGTATGAAAAACTTCAGAAAGTAAAAATGATATTCTTACCAGGTTTTTATCCCTACAGATCACTCCTCTTCTCTCTTCATAAAAGTTCAACAAAATGGATAGTTCATTTATGTTGAAAGCATTTCTGGTAGTTGACAATTAGCTTTGTTTACCTTAAAGAGAATATGACCTGTGATTTTCATTTTCTATCAATAAGTGATTTCATCTATTTTTATATATGGCTAGCATATAGATAATTAGAATAGAGCTCTATAAACCCAATGCATTGGTCAATGATGAAGTAGAGTTCTAGAAAACTTCCATTTTTTGATCCATAATTTCTCCAATTTTTACAAATATTGTAAAAGGTATAAAACATTGCCAGTGGAGATTAGTAAACCAATTCCTGGGGCACAGGTTCACTAGAAACAGTTTCTAGATCTTGAGGATAAAAGCACAAAACAATCTAAGGTACTTTTGACAAATTCATCCCTTTCTCTATGAATTAATGAATATTAATTTAGCACACACTATTTATCAGGCATGAGACAAAACATACGCTAAAAATTGTCCTGGTTTATACATCGTTTACTGTCTAGAAGAGTAGTCAGCAAACTCTTAAATTCAGATAGTAAATATTTTGAGCTTGGGATCATACAGTTTCTGGTGCAACTATTCAACCCTGCCATTTTGTAGCATGAAACACCCTTAGACAATAAGTAAATAAGTGAGTATGGATGTGCCTCAATAAAATTTTCTTTATAAAAACAGGAGGCGGGCTTCCCTGGTGGCGCAGTAGTTGAGAGTCCGCCTGCCAATGCAGGGGGCGCGGGTTTGTGCCCCTGTCCGGGAAGATCCCACATGCCGCGGAGCAGCTGGGCCCGTGAGCCATAGCCGCTGAGCCTGCACGTCCGGAGCCTGTGCTCCGCAACGGGAGAGCCCACAACAGTGAGAGGCCCGCGTACAGAAAAAAACAAACAAACAAACAGGAGGCTGCCCACGGGCACAGATTGCCAACCCATGATCTAGTAGGTAAAAACAAGTAATCAGGCACCTAGGATACAGTTTTGATTGGAGAAGGATATAAGGGGCTCAAGAAGGCTTCCCAGAAGAAGCAATGCAAGAAAATCAATGTTATAAATAAGCCTCCATCACATCCAATTAATCCAAATTAATCCAAGAGATAGAAGGCAGGAAATAAGAAATCTACAAATGTAAATTAAGGAAATAAAAAGCAGATATATAGGAGAGAAGATCAACAAATTTAAAGGTTGGGTCTTACAAAAAAACCTTCCTGGTAAGACTGAACCAAAAAAAAAAAAAAAAGATATATATAACTAATATCAAGAATGAAAAATATGATGAAACTACAAATTGTAATGTCCACTTTTTCTAAACAAAAGGAGTCCATTACCAAACATCTTTTTAAGTCGTCATAAAGTTTCTTACTTTTTAAATCTCCAATTATTTTATGTCAAACATTTCCTTTTTACTTTTAAAAATATTTGACTCCTCAGGATTCTTATTTGTCTTTTTAAAACTCTAACTGGCCATTCACAAAAGCATCAAAAACAATAAAATACTTAGGAAGAAATTTAACCAAGGAGGTGAAAGATCTGTACACTGAAAGCTATAAGATTATGATGAAAGAAATTGAAGAAAACACAAATAAATGAAAAGATATCCAATGTTCATGGACTGGGAGAGCATTGTTAAAATGTCCATACTACCTAAAGCCATCTATAAACGCAATGCAATCTCTCTCACAATTCTAATGGCATTTTTCACAAAATAGAAAAAACAATCCTAAAATCTGTATGAGACCACAAAAGACCCTGAATAAACAAATCAATCCTGAAAAGAAGAACAAAGCTGGAAGTATCACATGTCCTGATTTACAGCTATACTACAAAGCTATAGTAATCAAAACGGTATGGTATTGGCAGAAAAACAGATGACTAGACCTATGGAACAGAAACAAGAGCCCAGAAATAAACTCTTACATATTTGATTGACTAGTATTTGACAATGGAGCCAAGAATACTCTCTGTGGAAAGAATAATCTCTTCCATAAATGCAACTGGGATAACTGGATAACCACATGCAGAAGAATGAAATTGAACCCCAATCTTACACCACTCAGAAAAATTATCTTAAATGGATTAAAGAGTTAAGCAGAAGACCTAAATCCATAAAACTCCTAGAAGAAAACATCAGGGGAAAGCTCCTTGACATTGGTCTTGGCAATGATTTTTTTGGATATGACACCAAAAGCACAAGCAACAAAAACAATAATTAATAAATGAAACTACATCAAACTGAAAAGTTTCTGCACAGCAAAATAAACAATCAACAAAATGAAAAGGCAACCTATGGAATGGGAGAAACAACTTGCAAACCATATATTTGATAAAGGATTGATATCCAAAATATATACAGAAGTCATATAACAGAGAAAAAAATCAAACAATCCAATTAAAAAATGGGCAGAGGAACTGAACAGATATTTTTTCAAAGAAGACATACAGATGGCTAACAAGTACATGAAAAGGTGCTCAACATCACGAATCATCAGGGAAGTGCAAATCAAATCCACAATATGGTATCACCTCATACCTGTTAGAATGGCTATCATTAAAAAGACAAAAGGTAAGTGCTGGTGAGGATGTGGAGAAAAGGGAACCTTTGTGCACTGTTAGTGGGAATGTAAATTGGTGCAGCCACTATGGAAAACAGTATGGAGCGTCCTTAAAAAATTAAAACTAGAACTACCATATAATCCAGCAATCCCACTTTTGAGTATATATCCAAAGGAAATGAAATCACAATCTCAAAGAGATATCTACAGCCCATGTTCATTGCAGCATTATTTAGAATAGCCAAGACAGGGAAACAACCTAAGTGTCCATGGACAGATGAATGGATAAAGAAGATGTGGTATACACACACACACTGGAATATTATTCAGCCATGAGAAACAAGGAAATCCTGCCATTTGCAACAACATGGACGGACCGTGAGGACATTATGCTAAGTGAAATAAGTCAAACAGAGAAAGACAAATACAGTAGGTTATCACTTATACACTTAGAATCTAAAACAGCTAAACTCATAGAAACAGAGTAGATTGGTAGTTTCCAGAGTTGGCGGGATGGGGGAAATGGAGAAATGTTGGTCAAAGGGTACAAACTTCCAGTTATAAGATGAATAAGTTCTGCGGATCTAATGTACAGCATGGTGATTATATTGTAGTTAACAACACTGTACTATATAGTTGAAAGTTGCTAAGAGAGTAGATCTTAAGTGTTCTCACCACAGTAAAAAATGGTAACTATATGAGGTGATGGAGGTATTAGCTAAAGCTATGGTGGTAATCATTTTGTAATGTATAAGCATTTTATAATACATAAGTGTATCAAATCAACACATTGTACACCTTAAACTTACACAATGTTCTATATCAGTTATATCTCAGTAAAGATGGGAAGAAATACACTACTTTAGAAATATCAGTGTATTATTACTTCTGAAAAGCACTAACTTTTTTTTTTTAAATAAATGTATTTATTTATTTAGGGCTGTGTTGGGTCTTCTTTGCTGTGCACGGGCTTTTCTCTAGTTGCGGTGAGCAGGGGCTACTCTTCGTTGCGGTGCACGGGCTTCTCATTGAGGTGGTGTCTCTTGTTGTGGAGCACAGGCTCTAGGCACGTGGGCTTCAGTAGTTGTGGCACGTGGGCTCAGTAGTTGTGGCTCGCGGGCTCTAGAGCCCAGGCTCAGTAGTTGTAGCGCACGGGCTTAGTTGCTCCACAGCATGTGGGATCTTCCTGGATTGGGGATCAAACCCGTGTCCCCTGCATTGGCAGGCGGATTCTAAACCACTGCGCCACCAGGGAAGTCCCAGCACTAACTTTTTTTTTTTTTTTGGTGGTATGCGGGCCTCTCACTGCTGTAGCTTCTCCCACCGCGGAGCACAGGTTCCAGGCCCACAGGCCCAGCCGCTCTGTGGCATGTGGGATCCTCCCGGACCGGGGCACGAACCCGTGTCCCCTGCATCGGCAGGCAGACTCTCAACCACTGCGCCACCAGGGAAGCCCAGCACTAACTTTTGTACATAATATTTTCTCCTATTGAGATTGATATTTTGTGGTGAAATTTGCTTTGATTGCCAATTGAGCAATTTATATTTATAAAAGCATCTTACTTTAGCTAATTGTTTTTCAACTGAACAATATCAATTTAATTATTTTATTTAAAATGCTCTGGCTCCTCCCTATCCTCCAATAATCATTAGGTTTATTAGTAGCTTTAGGTTACTTCTGGATTATGTTCTATTATGAAAATGCTGAATCATTCTCCTAGCTGAGTATTTGTACCTCTAATATATTATATATAATATGTAACATATTCCACCAGAGTTTATCCAGTTAGCAAAACAAGCAAAATTCTGAATTATTAAGGGCTAAATAAAATATTTTCGTTCTTGATGTGCAAAATAAAACAAAAAAAGCCTCCAAATGACTAACAACTAAGGGATCTTGATTTAGTTAAATGGTATATACATTCCTTTAAATGAACCCTTACCTTATACACTTCTTTCATCACTTCTAGAAGAGCTTTAACATTGTGGTGACTGAATGGTTTCAGTCCAACAAAACAGGTGAGAGGCGATGGCAGTTTTAAGCATCTGGACCAGTGTGTTGAGAGAGGATGCTTGCAAAGATGCCCAACACTGCTCTGAGGGGTGTAAAATCAGCCATGATAAATATGCACCCCCCAAAAAAACTCCCTCAGCTTCTAAGTTCTTTAATGTAAAAAATAGCTCATATTTTCCACTTCTGATGGCATAACCCATAAAATATCTTTTAGAAGGATAACATCCTGGACAACATTCATTATTCACAGATCTGGAGAAAAATTTTTTTTCCCTGATTAAGTATCTTTGGAATTAAAAGCTCAAATTCAGGCTTCTGAAAAAATTTGTTGATAGTTCATATTTATGCTTGATTACTTGGTTGACTTCATGATTTTCAAACTGAAACTTCCATAGTGTATCTATAAAGTCTGAAAACATACATAGGTGAATAAACAAATACAAACGCACACACACACACACACACATACACTCAAGACATATAATGTCATCAAGGACATTTTTAATCTGTAAAAAATAAAATAATATTATCTATGTTTTCAGACTGTATGAGCACCTTGTATACATGGATATATTTTTAAATTAGCTCAGCAACAATATTTTAATATCACTGAGGTTACAAACTGAATTTTTGTACCTTTAAAAGACAATTCTCAAAAACAAACATATCAAGTGTTAAAATATATTTTCAAACTAATGTAACTAAAATAGTATGACCCAGATGCATGAAAGGCAGATTAATTTAGCAGAGACTTCACAAATGGACCCAAATACACATGAGACTTTAGCATATGATGAAGGTGGCATTGCATATGAGTGGGAAATGAAACAGATCATTTAATGAATGTGTGACAACTGGAAACTGATCTGAAAAAAAATGAAGTTTCATCAAGATAAACTCCATATAGTTCAAAGAGTTAAACATAAAAATGAAACAATGTGCGGGAGGGATAAATTGGGAGATTGGGATTGACTTATACACACTACTATATATAAAATAGATAACTAATAAGGACCTACTGTACAGCACAGGGAACTGTACTCAGTACCCTGAATGACCTGTATTGGAAAAGAATCTAAAAAAGAGTGGATATATGTATATATATAACTGATTCACTTTGCTGTACAGCAGAAACTAACACAACATTGTAAATCAGCTATACTCCAATAAAAATCAACTTAAAAAATGAAACAATAAAAATTCTAATAGGAGCATGGGAAATCTTTAAATTTCAACATGAGGTAAACTTTTTGAGGTATGACCCAAATTCAGAAACTATAAAAGAAAATGTTAATATAGTAGGCTGCATAAAAATGTTTAAAAATAATTATGCATGGCAAAAATACAACAAAATAAAAAAAATTTTAGTAACCTAAAGAAAAAAATTGCAACTCATACTATGGATAAAGAATTGTCGTATATGTATAGCTGATTCATTTTGCTGTATAGAAGAAACTAACACAACATTGTAAAGCAACTATACTCCAATAAAAATTAATTTAAAAAAATAAAATAAATAAGTGATATGGGCAGATGTGGCCAAAAAAAAAGAATTGTCTTAGTAGTTTAAAAGCTTCTAAATAAAAAAGAAAGATACTAACAACAAATGGAAAAAGAGGTAAGGGGGAGAACTGATAGTTTCTAGAATATGATGTACAAATGGAACTGAATATAGGAAAACCAGCACAACTCCATTCATAATGAGAAAATTCAAATTAAGAGATTCTTGGGGACTTCCCTGGTGGCACAGTGGTTAAGAATCCACCTGCCAATGCAGGGGACACAGGTTTGATCCCTGGTCTGGGAAGATCCCATATGCTGCGGAGCAACTAAGCCCATGTGCCACAACTACTGAGCCTGTGCTCTAGAGCCCATGAGCCACAACTACTGAGCCTGCGTGCCACAGCTACTGAAGCCCACACGCCTAGGGCCCGTGCTCCACAACAAGAGAAGCCACTCCAATGAGAAGCCCGCGCACCGCAACAAAGAGTAGCCCCTGCTCGCTGCAACTAGAGAAAGCCCACGGGCAGCAGTGAAGACCCAATGCAGCAAAAGAAAATAAATTAAAAAAAGAAAAAAAGAGAGAGAGAGATTCTTGGGAATTCCCTGGCTGTCCAGTGGTTAGGACTCCACGCTTCCACTGCAGGGGGCCCAGGTTTGATCCCTGGTCGGGGAACTAAGATCCCACAAGGAGCGTGGCCTGCCCAAAAAAAAAAAAAAAAAAAAGAGAGATTCTTCTTTTCAGAATGGTATAGACCAAAGTTTGGTTCACACTGTGGAGAAGTGTGTGGGCTGATGCTCTCATATTTATTGATTAAGTGTAAATTGGTACATCTTCTGTCAGAGCTATGTTGCCCAATTCCAAGGGTGACAATGTGAATGGTAACCACTTAAAGTTGGACAACATGGTGGCCCTGACTTCTGTGGAGGGTCATTTGGCAAAATCTCTCAAGATTTAAAACGCACATACAATTTGACCCAGTAATTCTGCTTTCTGGACATTTCCCTGCCCGTGTAAATTTACGTATGTACAAAGAAATGCATGTTAGAACTGTTATAATAGCAAAAATTTACTTATATCCTCCCAATAGAATACTACTCAGCCATTAAATGGAATGAGGCAGTCGTATAGGTCCTGCAACATAATGATCTCCAAGGTATACCGTTTAGTGAAAACAGCAAGTTGCCAAAGAATGTATGCTACCATTTTTAAAGAGAATTATTATTTCTATATGTTTTTATATAGAGAATATCTTTCAAAGGTTACACAAGAAACTCTACTCTCTAACTGCTTTCTGAGAGGGGAACTAGGTAGCTTATAATTCACCATACATTTCACCTTCACACCTTTTAAGCTTTGGACCTTGAACATTAGCTCAAAGTTGTAAAAGGATATCCCATGGCATTGAATAAAATAAAAAACAAGAACACAAAGTTAAACATTTTTTTCCTCACCTCTGGTCAAAATGTCTAAAGTTTTAAAACAACATAAAGTTTTAAAGTATGGATTTATCTTGACTGGATACTCTATGGTTATTAAATTCTGATGTCAAGGCCATGACCAAGTCTAAGAATTACACATGCTTTGTGATGATAGAGTAATGATTATAATAGCTTTGAAACCGAGCAGGACCCTATGGGGCGCTCCCAGGTACAAAAGGCTTTCCCGTGCCTCCTGTTTCTTGATTGCAGGAAAAAGGCTTCAACCTCCGAGACCTTCCCTGGGTTCCAAAGGGCAGATTCACACTGTTACTAATTAGGAAGTGAGGGAATGCAGAAAGGAAGGAAAGCCAGTCCGGAAACAATAGTGCAGAGATGGGGCAGGGTCCTGGTTCCTCCTCAAGGGATATACAAGACAGTCTGACACATATCTCTGAGTGCTTCTACAGGAACTAAGACCCCAACCCAGGTGGAAGATGGTAACTTCAGGCTGACCATAAGCACTTGAACCCCAGACTGGTTACAACCAGAAAGCTGATGACTGAGATTCCTAGAGCACCATCCTGTTACCTCACCACCAACCAGTCAGAAGAAAGTCACACCCTCTGCAGCCCTCCCTGAAAATTTGCCTTTAGAAACTCTTCCCTGAGGCCCATCAGGGAGTTTAGGTCTTTTGAGCATAAAATGCCCGTTCTCCTTGTTTGGCCCTTGCAATAAACCTTCCTCTGCTCCAAACTCCAGTGCTTCGGTTTGTTTGGCCTCACTGTGAGTCAGGCACACAAACTTGGATTTGACGATAGCTTTAGGTTAATCTTTTCAATAATGCACATACCACATATTCAAACATTTGTGTAGTATTTTGCAGTCTATCTAAACTTTGCTACAACTTCTACTTCAGACAGTGACTCTCTATTGAGAATACAGATAAAGTGACATAAAGGTAATCACACTTACTCAGGACTTGTGAAGATTGGCCAGTCATGTTAGGAACAGCCTCTGCGAACGGGACCACCAGAGTCATCCAGTTCTTAGGATCATGCATGACAGGACACTCTGGGAGCAGAAGGAAGACCGATAAAGCTTCTTGGTGTGGAGAACGATATGGAAGAGCTCTGAGCAGAGGATCCCTGAGACGTGTTGTTATCTGTGGTTGAAACAGGATCAGGGAGAGGCCCAGAATATATATTAGACACAGAGTATTACAAGAAAGAAGCTATGGGACCAGAGGTTTCATGTCCACTATGTTCCAAATGGAATAATCATTTAGTTTTCCCGAAACCTACTATTCAAACTCCATCACTCCTTGTTTCCCAAATGTCCCTGAAGTAGTATGTGAGAACCATCCACCCTATTTTATATTGGGGTGAATGAAAGAAATAAAGTGAAATCACACGACGGGACATACTGAATGAATCATAACAAACGGTTGCTCAGTTAGAAGGGATCCATATCCAGATCTATCTGACCTAAAGTTCTACCGTGGCAGAGAAAATGCCATACGTTCACCTCGCCAATCCTATGTCATCTTCCTCTGGGGCTCGCAGGCAGATGGCATTGCCCAGCCTCCCCTGCAGTTAGGTGGGCTCATGCGACCGGGTTCTAGCTAACAGAATGTGAGGGAAGGCAATGTGTGACACTTCCAGGCTTGGCCCCTAAAGCCTCCCATGTGACCTTTCATACCCTCTTTCCCCATCTGCCAACCAACACAAAAGACCTACTGGAGAATTTCGTGGCCCTGGGGCCTAGAATGACAGAAAGGAACCTGAGTCACCCCGGAATGAACCTGGGCAGAGGGGGGGAAGGGTAGTAGAATTTGCCACCCCCAAATATGCCACCCCAACATGAGGGTTATTTTAAGCTGAAGGCAAGTGAGAAAAAGCAGACATGGAATGAGCTCTCTGGCCTCTCCCATCCACCTGAAAACAGAACATAAATTCCCCTTGTGAAGGTGCCCTCCTGTCCCCAACTTCCCGTACCAGGAAGGGGATAACAACCTGACTAGCAGAGATGAGCTGGCGCTGAGGAAGACTCTACACCACAAACCTTACTAACTAGCCCTTAGCTACCATTGCTTTCTTCATTTATTTTCCTTCCCACCATTTGCCAACCCAGAAGCTCAAAGTCCGTATCTTTTGTCTTCTCGCTTCTCTACAAAATTACTGTTCTTCACTAAGATGCTTTAGAAGCCCAAGTTCTAACCAGTCCTTAAAGTTACTCATCACTGAGTATTTCCATGTATAAGTGGGATGCCCATGTTAATAAACCTGTTTTTCTCTTGTTCATCTGTCTTTTCTCAGTGTAATCTGTGAGGCCCCAGCCAATGAAACTAAGGTAAGGAGAGGAAAAGTAATTTTTTTCCTTCCCTACAGGTGCCTCCTATCTCAACCCTCTTTGGACTTTGGTGTGAGAAAAGAAAAAAAAAATCTTCACTGTGTGAATCGGCCATTGAGATTTGGAAGTTGTCTGGAGAAGCTTATGTTTGGAGGAGGTAATCAAGAGGATGTTGACCCTCAAGCTGGGCCTGGGCAGTCACATGGTCCTCACCCACTCCCGTCTGTTCGGAATGCATGCTCTGCCCACTGTTCCCATAGTGGGAGCTGTTCCAAGGATGCAGCCTTGAGAGAGTAAGGTGTTGCTAAGACTATGTGGACAGTATATGTGACTGAACCCAGCAGTTAATGCCTCTATATGAACTTCAGGATTCGGGCGGGCAGGTACAGATCTACTCATCTTGCGGCCACCCAACACAAGCCTTGTAAGTTCCCTTGCTTATTAAACCTGCTACCTTCCAATCTGGAGGGGCTGCCTCTTTCTTCAGTCCTTCCTTGTCCTCTGAGCACAGGGGCCGGTTTCTGAACCAACAGCTTATGTATTCTCTCTAACAGATCTTAGATACTCTTAACTGTGAGTATCTGCCTCCACATGTCCTAAGGATTAAGTAAGATGATACATGCAACAATAAACTGTGAAGTACTGTATACTAGTATTACACTGATGTTCTTACAGTTTTTTTTTCATATATCCAGAAGAACATGACTTCTGCGGAATGCTAGTAGGTGTACATGGGAAAATAGTGTCACAAAGTCAAATAACTTTGAGAAAAATAGGGTCAAAAAAGCTAGATTTCTTTCAGTATATGACATCATAGAGTCTTTGATTTACTTACGTGCATCACGACTCCATAATAGTATGCGGTGTTCCTAAAGCTGCTTCACTAAGAACCCCTCTTCATAGAGCATTCTGTGAAACTAATGTTTCTTAGAACTCACACTGGGAATAGCTCCCCAAGTGATCTCCCACATAACCTAAATATTTATTTTAAAAATATACCTGATCACATTTACTATTCTTACTTTTTCATCTTGAAAATAAAAATAGGGACTTCCCTGGTGGCCCCGTGGGTAAGACTAAGCGCTCCCAATGCAGGGGGCCCAGGTTTGATGCCTGTTCAGGGAACTGGATCCCACATGCCGCAACTAAGACCCGACATAGCCAAATAAAATATAAATAAATAAACAAATATTTTAAAAAGTAAATAAATAAAAAGTTTCTACTGCATATTAAGGAACACTCTCCCCCATTCCCTTCCAAATGTAGGGACCCAAAACGGTATAAAGATGATTTTCAACTGAAGATGTCAGAGATACAGCTGTTGTGAGAAGCCTTCAGAGCTTTTCTCATCTAACTAAAGGCAGAGGCTTCAAAGAGTGAAGCAGCTACAAATCCTCTCCTGGGTGGGCAGGTGAGCGAGCTTCACTGCCAGGAAAAAGACCCCGCACTTGCACTTGCATGAGAAATTGCAGAAACAAACCTTATCACAAGCTATCCTATCTTCCATGTGTCCCCCTAAATGCCCATCTGTCTCCCAGTGGAAATTGTTTCATTTATTTCTCCCCCTTCCCTAAAGTTGGTATATAAACCCTCATCCCTGGCTGCTCTTCACGAGTAGAACTTTTCTTTTCTGTTAATCTATTCTTAATCGGTAGGTCCCAAAACATATGAATCCCAAACTAGTACTCTTTTCGTAAGTTATACCTCTCAAGCACTGTTTTTCTCATACTGAAAATAAAAACACTGTATCTACTGTACATTTAAGCATGCACAGCGCCTAGTACAGTGTCTGGCATATAGTAACCTCATAAGAAACACTAGTCCCTCCCCTATCACACTTCCCTCTCACTCAACTCCTAACAAAAGTAAACTGTAATCATATCGGTTCCTGTAAAGAAATTCTATTGATCTATTTCTCAAGTGAATATTGGTTATTACCAAAGAAGAAATCCATTCTTTTTTTGTTAACTTCTCACCATTTCTAAGTCCACATCAATGGAAATAGTTTCTCCAGATTCTCTTTGGATGCAAGAAATGCAAAAAAAACACATAAACAGATGTAAAGGAATATTCCTAACTTCATATACCATTAGGTATAATTTTATTTTACTACATATCATATATTATCTTTTTTATTAAAGCTTGCATTCTTTCAAAATAATCAATTTACTTGGCACAAAAAAGAGTTATAAAATCTATGTTCTCCTAAGAGAGAATAGGTAACAATTTATTATCTCAAGTTTGGGCTGCAAGAATAGCAAAAGTTTACATGCTGCGTCTGAGTGCTGAAACCATTTACCCTCACACTTAGCCTGCGCACTGAGAACCTACCATCTATATTTATATTACTTTGGGATTCCACTGTTTCATTAGCATGACTTTACTATTCCAAGACACCCTTGCCCAAGCAAATGGCTTGATTGTTCATTTTAGGAACTTCCTGAAAAGATCCATTAACTCTACCACAGAAAGCAATCAACAGTTTACGCCCTAAAATTCTTCGCATCTCTTGTCTCAAAATCCTTGCCTTAGGCTTCCCTGGTGGCGCAGTGGTTGAGAGTCCGCCTGCCGATGCAGGGCACACGGGTTCGTGCCCCGGTCCGGGAAGATCCCACATGCCGCGGAGCGGCTGGGCCCGTGAGCCATGGCCACTGAGCCTGCGCGTCCGGAGCCTGTGCTCCGCAATGGGAGAGACCACGGCGGTGAGAGGCCCGCGTACCGCAAAAAAAATAAAAAATAAAAATAAAATCATCCTTTCCTTGCTGTTTCCAACCGTCCCGGACTGTAGTATCTTTCCTCAATCCTGATGAAGTCCCCAATCCTCCCCTCCCACACTGAAAGACCTGCCTTAATCCAAACTGTTGATTTAAAAAAATCCAGACCTGGCCATTCTCCTCAGAAATACTACCAAGGCTTTCTTTGTCTAGGTGTGGCATTTCCCTGGGTTGTGTTGGTAATATTTGAGGAGCTTGCACTCTGTAGGACGATTTGTCTTTATAATGTACTATTGACTATTTCATGCTTGCTAGATTAACCAATCAATTGTAATACTAGGCCTAAAACATTTATGCAAGTGCCAAAACAGAGTACTGTAAATTTCCCCGTAAAATAAATTCTCCTTTGCAGCCTTTGGCATCTTAAGATCAAACCTTCAGGTTTGTCACTCCTGGGAAGGGGACATGGAGACACTTTAGAAAGATAATTTTCTTAGCGTAGAAAAGATTCTCCTCTAGGTAATGAGAATTAGCTTGAGGCTACAGTGGGGAAGAAACAGGATACATTACATGGTAGAGTCCCCTCCTTTCTAGGCTAGAAGGATGGCAAGAAGAGGATGGCAAACGGGAGAGAAAGCCGGCAGAGGGAAGCAGTGTCTTGATTTCTCATCTCCTGCCTTTGGCCGGGATGTGTAGAGATGAATAGGGATGCCTCTGGGGACTCTAGAATGATAACTGCCTCGTGAGCTGCGGTGGGCAGGCATGACACTCATCTTCCCTGGGCTTCTCTGGTTCCCAGGTGAAGCTGTTGGACCCAACAGTTCCTCCAGTCTCCCTGAGGAATGGCTGGGAATGCAGCTGGGTTAAGAACCAAAGGGACAATGGCGGGGGGCGGGGGGAAAGGGAGGGCAGGTTACTTAGAGGCAAGAAGTACCTGCAACAGGGGTTAAGTGAATAGTGAGTACCGCCTAGCGGCGGATGTGTACAGCTATCTTCTGAGGCCAAGTCAACAAGGGAGGGACAGGACCTGACCTAGCGAAGGAGGACGGAGAGGAGTGACACCCGCTGCGGACAGACCTGCAGGGTACCGGCCTCCGGAGAAGACAGAGGGCAGCCTAAGGGCCCCTTTATGCTACTATTCCCCCTCCCCTTCCTCGTTACTGCTAAAGTAATTAAACAACGAGGCCATTACACTGCAGTGGCTCTAGTACCATGGTGGCCTATAAAAGCAACCCAAAATCTAAGCCTGTAAATGCCTCAAAGTTATGAATCAAAAGCTAAGGGCAACCAATCACAAAAAGCCCAGTAGGCTTTAAGTTATAGCCAATCAAATAATTTCCTTTCTTTGTTTCTGTACCGTCTCTGTATGTCTCTCCCTGAGCTCCTCTCGCTGGTGCACTCTTAGGCAATTCTGAATTGGTGCTGCGTGATTCAAATTGATGTTCGCTCAAACAAACTTACAATTTTTAATATGCCTCACTTTATCTTTCAGTAGTTCCCAGGTACAGTATTGGAGCGCATAGAGGGAGGCGAAGAAACAGAAGACCAAACATTGAGCAATTTAAGAGAGGAATTGTTTAAACTACTGAATCAGACCAAGTGTCAAACCAAGTAGGAGAGAAGTTAGATTCTCCTCTGTGGTAGTAAGACTAGTTAAAGATAAAATAAATAGAATCTGTTTTCCTTACTGATCTCAAAATAAGAGCTTCAGAGCACAGGCCTGGCCTCTAAGTACAAAAGCAATGTTAGAATGAACTGATCGCTCCTAGATGCAAAGATTCTGAAAAAAACACCATTCCTGCCAATCAGACAGCAGAGGAGGGCAGGGCAGAGGCAGTGAACAATGTAAATTAGAAATTACAACTTGCAGTGGTCCAATAGGAAACTACTTTACAAAAATGGGAGAATTCTGTAACAACCTATGGAGTTTTCAATGTTGGATTGTTTTTTGTTCATAGATAACAAAATTCACATATTAAAATGACTGAGTCGAAACATTTCATTTTAAATATCCCCCAGTGTTTTAAATAAAGTTAAGTCTCATGTAAGTGTTACCTTTTCTTTAAAAACTTTCAGTCAGACAAGCAGGAGATGAAAATATCACTCTAATTTCCCTGCAAACATAATAAGACAAGGTTAAGTCACAACATACCATAAGCATATCCCTTTTATCTTACCGAATACTGTATGTAACTGATGACGTGGAACCATTGTTAACGAAAATAACTGCTCTCTTAAGAGTCCTCCAAATTCTGGGTATACTTTGTGCATGTGACTGCTAAGTCTTACCAAAACCCTTCATAGTTGATTTGATCAAGTCATCTAGATTTAAATAAAATGCATCCTTCTGAAAACAGAAACTTCTGGAGCTCCAGTGAATAAACTATGAAGCTATAAAAACAGTCTGCCCTGAGGAAGGCTTTGTGGCACAGAAAGCATTTTTGATTCACTCCTGCATCTTCCTCACCTACTAAAGTGCCTGGCATATTGTACATCCTCGATATACCTCTGTTAAAGAAATGATGAATGAACGAATAAAATGACTTCTTCAAACTAAGAGATGGTAGAAGAGAATCATGATTAAAATGCAAATGCCTTCATGACAAAGCCAAATCCTCTCTCTTATGTCTAGGATAAAATGACCAAGGCTTCAGAACCAAATAAAAGTGGTTTCTCCTTTTTTTTTGGGCTGTGCGACACGGCTTGCAGGGTCTTAGTTCCCCAAACAGGGATCGAACCTGGGCCCCCAGCAGTGAAAGCGCAGAGGCCTAACCCCTGGACCGCCAGGAAATTCCCAGTTTCTACTTTGTCAGACAGAGCCACCTCTCAAGTCACTTACTTCATGCTCTGCACTTCCTCTTGCCACTGCCATCCATTTTTCTGTCAGCAACTGGTTAATTCGGCTTATTTCTGGCAGGGTTTTCCTGGAAACACTGGTGGAACTAGTATACTTCTAGGAAGAAAGAAAAGAATGATCAGGAAAACACACACACACACTAAGTAGTGAGTAAAACACAGGTGGGAGATGGGCCCCCATCCTCTCAGACAGTGGGGTTTTGTGGGAGGAGCCACAGCATCAGACTGGCCTGGCTCTCCCATTTCCTAGCCTTGGCCACTTAGCTTGGTCCAAGCCTTAGCTTTGTTATTAAAAAAATGAGATAACACAAAAGAACTGAAAACAGGGACTCAAACAGATACTGTATGTCAATATTCATTGCAGCATTATTCACAATAGCCAAAAAGATGGGAACAACCCATGTCCAGCAACAGCATCAACAGATGAACATGGTACATCCATACAATGGAATATTACTCAGCCATGAAAAGGAAGGAAGTTCTGACACATGCTGCAACATGGATGAACTGTGAAAACGCTATGCTGAGTGAAATAAGCCTGATACAAAAGGACAAATATTGTACAATTCCACTTATACGAAACAGGCTAATTCATAGACAGAAAGGGTATTAGAGGTTACTGGGGTTACAGGTAGTGGGGAATGGGAAGTTATTATTTAATGGTTAAAAGTTCTGCTTAGGGAGAAAAAGAGTTTCTGCTGGGGGTAATGAAAAGAGTTTTAGAGGGAGATAGCGGTGATGGTTTTACCACGATTAAAAAATAAGATTAAAAGATATTAGGTATACAAAGCCTTTGGATTATAGTAAGTACTCAGTAAATACTAGTTTCCTTCTGCCCTTTAATCATCCACAGGCTTTTGCTTTTATGTCAGTGGTTTTCAAACTGATAACAGAATCACCTAGTGATCTTGTTAAAGCGTAGACTGCTGGGTCCATCTCCACAGTTCCCGATTCAACAGGTCAGGCGTGGAGCTCAAGAATCTGCGTCTAGCAAATTCCCAGGTGATGCTGAGGCTGCCGATTTGGGGACCACATTTTTGAGAACCATGGTTCTATGTAATATTTGAAACCAAATGGCTCAACCAGAGGTGTCAGAAATCACTGTCTGGAGAGAAAAACCTGTCTTTAACATATTCTTCCAAGGACATTAGTGCTCTGCTCTGTAATATACCTCTGCTTCCACTAACTTATAGTAAATCAGGGAATTCTGCATCGCTTCCACTAACTTATAGTAAATCAGGGAATTCTGCATCGCTTCCACTAACTTATAGTAAATCAGGGAATTCTGCATCACTTTTGTTTAATGCTTAGCTAAAGACCTTTTGAAAAAGATGTATTACCATGACTCCCAAAGTTCCCTTCACTGTCTTGATCTGAGTCCTGGGTGTTCCCTGGAGTTCAACCATGAGGAAGCTTTTTTCCCTCCACCATCCCAGGGACCTTAGGACGATGAGGCGCTCACAGACCATTTCTTCTACTTTCTTCTTCAAAATCCCGGCTCCTCTGAAGCACATAACAACAGACTATATCACCTGCCAAAGTCCTAGTCACGACCCTTCAATCACTGAAAACTTTAGCACCTTGCTGACTGCCTTCCTCAGCACATCCACGCCGGTCATCATTCTTCCTGTCCTTCTTGGCAACTTCATACTTCATGGACCCAGTTTGTTTCCCCTCTTGATCTCTCAGTTCTTTATCTTGTCTCCACTCTTTTCCTCTGCTCCGCTGCAGCCACCCAGGCTCTGGGGCGGGGCTTCTAAACTAACCCGACTGGCACTTTGCGTCTGATAATTCTCTGTTGTGAGCGGCTGTCTTCTGCGTTGCAGGATGTTTAGCAGCAGCCCTGGCCTCTACCCACCTGATGCCAGTAGCAGCCACCCCGACATACATGCCCCTCCCTCAGGACAACCTCAGCTGAGCGCAGACATTGCCAGATGTTTCCAGGGGCGCAAAACCACTCCTAGTTGAAAACTATTGCCCTAGATAAAGGTGATATTCTGTACTTTATAATCACCAGTAATTGTTCCAGGGACTTCCCTGGTGGTGCACTGGTTAAGAATCTGCCTGCCAACGCAGGGGATGTGGGTTCAAACCCTGGTCCAGGAAGATCCCTCATGCCACAGAGCGACTAAGCCCGTGCGACACAACTACTGAGCCTGCGCTCTAGAGCTCGTGCTCCGCAACAAGAGAAGCCACCGCAGTGAGAACCCCGTAGAGAAAGCCCACACGCAGCAACAAAGACCCAACGTAGCCAAACAAACAAACAAAAATTGTTCCACCTTCTAAATTTCCATTAGAAACATTCTCCTCTCTGATCATCATACACCATCCTTCTAATTCACTGACTTCAGAGTGGAACTCCCAGGCTAACATTCTTTGATGCTGGAATGAGTTAAGACTTGGGGGCTGTTGAGATGAAATGAATGTATTCTGCATGCAAGAAGGACATGAATTTGAGGGGGGCAGTGGCAGAACATTATGGACTGAGTGTTTTCCCCCCAAATTCATATATTGGAATCCTAACCCCCAATGTGATGGTATTAGGAGGTAGGGCCTTTGGAAAGTGATTGGGTCATGAGGCTGGAGCCCTCAGGAATGGAACTAGTGCCCTTTATAACAGACCCCAGAGAGCTCTTTCACCCCTGCTCCTTCTGCCACATGAGGATACAGTGAGAAGACAGCCATCTGTAAACCAGGAAGCAGGCCCTCGCCAGACATCAAATCTGCCATCATCTTTTTTTTTTTTGGCCACACTGTGCAGCTTGCGGGATCTTAATTCCCAAATCGAACCCCGGGTCACAGCAGTGAAAGTGTCGAGTCCTAACCACTGGACCACCAGGGAATTCCCAAATGTGCTGTCATCTTAATCCCAGACTTCCCAGCCTCCAAAACTGTGAGAAATAAACTTCTGTTTATAAACCACTCAATCTATGGTATTTTGTTACAGCAGCCCGAAGAGACGAAGACACTTTAGAGTGGAATCCACTCCAACATTCTTTGAGGCCACTGGGCTCTCCAATTCATCAACCCTATTGTTTGTTCATTATCTATCCTACCCAGCTTAGGTTCTATGGTCAGCAGGGTAATCAGTCATTTGCAAATACCTCCAAGTCTTCTGTCCCTTTCCTATTGTACTTACCTAGCAAAAGTCCACCTGTAGTTAACCTTCAATCTGAATTATTCCAAAGGAATCCAAGCAGCTTAACATCAATGGAGAAAAACAAACAACTGTGCCGACTGATTTCACCTTATGCCCTACAACCACAGATTTCAAATGCTTACTCTATACTGTCTCGTAATCTCCCACGATGTTCACTGTCTCACTCTGAGTCACTATTGCACACTTTCCATTTATTCCTAAACCTGTAGCAATCTTCCTCTGCTTCACTAAGTTTCAAATAAGGACCGTGCCTTGTGCATCACTGAGAAAACTGAAACAATCAGGGAAGAACTAATCACCTTCCCACAAGCAACCTACCCTCACCTCCACTGTTCCTCATCTGAACAGAATAAAAATTTCTGCCCAAAGCCCTACGTGCCACACTGGACCCTTGGCCCTGCTTCCTGACTCCTATTCTGGGACAGCATTACCTCTACAATTATTCCCTCTTTCTCGTGCATCATCACTTTCTCCTCCTGAACTGGATCATTCTCACTGGCATACAAACATACCTTAATATCACCCATCCAAACAACAACAGAACTTCTCTAAGTGGGAAACACAAGAGAAGAGAAGGACCTACAAAAACAAACCCAAAACAATTAAGAAAATGGTACTAGGAACATACATATCGATAATTACCTTAAACGTGAATGGATTAAATGCCCCAACCAAAAGACACAGGCTTGCTGAATGGATACAAAAACAAGACCCATATATATGCTGTCTACAAGAGACCTACTGCAGACCTAGGGACACACACAGCCTGAAAGTGAGGGGAGGGAAAAAGATATTCCATGCAAATGGAAATCAAAAGAAAGCTGGAGTAGCAATACTCATATCAGACAAAATAGACTTTAAAATAAAGAATGCTACAAGAGACAAGGAAGTACCCTACATAATCATCAAGGGATCAATCCAAGAAGAAGATATAACAATTATAAATACATATGCATGCAACATAGGAGCACCTCAATACATAAGGCAACTGCTAACAGCTATAAAAGAGGAAATAGACAGTAACACAATAATAGTGGAAGACTTTAACACCTCACTTACACCAATGGACAGATCATCCAAAATGAAAATAAATAAGGAAACAGAAGCTTTAAATGACACAACAGACCAGATAGATTTAATTGATATTTATGGGACATTCTACCCAAAAACAACAGATTACACTTTCTTCTCAAGTGCGCACAGAACATTCTCCAGGATAGATCACAACTTGGGTCACAAATCAAGCCTCAGTAACTTTAAGAAAATTGAAATCATATCAAGCATCTTTTCTGACCCCAACGCTATGAGATTAGAAATGAATTACAGGGAAAAAAACGTAAAAAACACAAACACGTGGAGGCTAAACAATACATTACTAAATAACCAAGAGATCACTGAAGAAATCAAAGAGGAAATCAAAAAATAACTAGAGACAAATGACAATGAAACATGATGATCCAAAAACCTATGGGATGCAGCAAAAGCAGTTCTAAGAGGGAAGTTTATAGCTATACAAGTCTACCTAAAGAAACAAGAAACATCTCAAATAAACAATCTAACCTTACACCTAAAGGAACTAGAGAAAGAAGAACAAACAAAACCCAAAGTTAGCAGAAGGAAAGAAATCATAAAGATCAGAGCAGAAATAAATGAAATAGCAACAAAGAAAACAATAGCAAAGATCAATAAAACTAAAAGCTGGTTCTTTGAGAAGATAAAAAAATGTATAAACCATCAGCCAGACTCATCAAGAAAAAGAGGGTGAGGACTCAAATTAATAAAATTAGAAATAAAAAAGGAGAAGTTACAACAGACACTGCTGAAATACAAAGCATCCTAAGAGACTAGTACAAGGAACTCTATGCCAATAAAATGGACAACATGGAAGAAATGGACAAATTCTTAGAAAGGTATAGACTCCCAAGACTGAACCAGGAAGAAACAGAAAATATGAACAGACCAATCACAAGTAATGAAATTGAAACTGTGATTAAAAATCTTCCAACAAACAAAAGTCCAGGACCACATGGCTTGACAGGTGAATTCTATCAAACATTTAGAGAAGCGCTAACACACATCCTTCTCAAACTCTTCCAAAAAACTGCGGAGGAAGGAACACTCCCAAACTCATTCTCTGAGGCCACCATCACCCTGATACCAAAACCAGGCAAAGATACTACAAAAAAAGAAAGTTACAGAAAAATATCACTGATGAATATAGATGCAAAAATCCTCAACAAAATACTAGCAAACAGAATCCAACAACACATTAAAAGGATCATACACCATGATCAAGTGGGATTTATCCCAGGGATGGATGTATTCTTCAGTATATGCAAATCAATCAATGTGATACACCATATTAACAAATTGAAGAAGAAAAACCATATGGTCATCTCAATAGATGCAGAAAAGGCTTTTGACAAAATTCAAGACCTATTTATGATAAAAACTCTTCAGAACGTGGGCATAGATGGAACCTACCTCAACATAATAAAGGCCATATATGACAAACCCACAGCAAACATCATTCTCAATGGTGAAAAGCTGAAAGCATTTCCTCTAAGATCAGGAACAAGACAAGGATGTCCACTCTTGCCACTATTATTCAACATAGTTTTGGAAGTCCTAGCCATGACAATCAGAGAAGAAAAAGAAATAAAAGGAATCCAAATCGGAAAAGAAGAAGTAAAACTGTAACTGTTTGCAGATGACATGACACTATACATAGAAAATCCTAAAGATGCCACCAGAAAACTACTAGAGCTAATCAATGAATTTGGTAAAGCTGCAGGATACAAAATTAATGTACAGAAATCTCTTGCATTCCTATACACTAATGATGAGAAATCTGAAAGAGAAATTAAGGAAACACTCCCATTTACCACTGCAACAAAAAGAATAAAATACCTAGGAATAAACCTACCTAGGGAGACAAAAGACCTGTATGCAGAAAACTATAAGACACTGATGAAAGAAATTAAAGATGATACAAACAGATGGAGAGATATACCATGTTCTTGGATTGGAAGAATCAACGTTGTGAAAATGACTCTACTACCCAAAGCAATCTACAGATTCAATGCAATCCCTATCAAACTACCAATGGCATTTTTCACAGAAGTAGAACAAAAAATTTCACAATTTGTATGGAAACACAAAAGACCCTGAATATCCAAAGCAGTCCTGAGAAAGGAAAATGGAGCTGGAGGAATCAGGCTCCCTGACTTCAGACTATACTACAAAGCTACAGTAATCAAGACAGTATGGTACTGGCACAAAAACAGAAATATAGATCAATGGAACAGGATAGAAAGCCCAGAGATAAATCCATGCACATATGGTCACCTTATCTTTGATAAAGGAGGCAAGAATATACAGTGGAGAAAAGACAGCCTCTTCGAAAAGTGGTGCTGGGAAAACTGGACAGGTACATGTAAAAGTATGAAATTAGAACACTCCCTAACACCATACAGAAAAATAAACTCAAAATGGATTAAAGACCTAATTGTAAGGCCAGACACTATAAAATTCTTAGAGGAAAACATAGGTAGAACACTCTATGACATAAACCACAGCAAGATCCTTTTTGACCCGCCTCCTAGAGAAATGGAAATAAAAACAAAAATAAACAAATGGGACCTAATGAAACTTCAAAGCTTTTGCACAGAAAAGGAAACCATAAACAAGACCAAAAGACAACCCTCAGAATGGGAGAAAATATTTGCAAATGAAGCAACTGCCAAAGCAGTCTTGAGGGAAAAAAACGGAGCTGGAGGAATCAGACTCCCTGACTTCAGACTATACTACAAAGCTAAAGTAATCAAGACAATATGGGACTGGCACAAAAACAGAAACATAGCTCAATGGAACAAGATAGAAAGCCCAGAGATAAACCCACGCACCTATGGTCAACTAATCTATGACAAAGGAGGCAAGGATATACAATGGAGAAAGGACAGTCTCTTCAATAAGTGTGCTGGACAGCTACATGTAAAAGAATGAAATTAGAACACTCCCTAACACCATACACAAAAATAAACTCAAAATGGATTAGAGACCTAAATGTACGACCGGACACTATAAAACTCTTATAGAGGAAACCATAGGAAGAACACTCTGTGACATGAATCACCACAAGATCTTTTTTGATCCACCTCCTAGAGTAATGGAAATAAAAACAAAAATAAACAAATGGGACCTAATGAAACGTAAAAGCTTTTGCACAGCAAAGGAAACCATAAACAAGACGAAAAGACAACCCTCAGAATGGGAGAAAATATTTGCAAACAAATCAACAGACAAGAGATTAATCCAAAATATATAAACAGCTCAATATTAAAAAAACAAACAACTCAATCCAAAAATGGGCAGAAGACCTAATAGACATTTCTCCAAAGAAGACATACAGATGGCCAAGAAGCACATGAAAAGCTGCTCAACATCACTAATTATTAGAGAGGGTGTGGAGAAAAGGGAACCCTCTTGCACTGTTGGTGGGAATGTAAATTGATCCAGCCACTATGGAGAACAGTATGGAGGTTCCTTAAAAAACTAAAAATAGAATTACCATATGATCCAGTAATCCCACTACTGGGCATATACCCAGAGAAAACCATAATTCAAAAAGACACATGCACCCCAATGTTCATTGCAGCACTATTTACAATAGCCAAGTCACGGAAGCAACCTAAATGCCCATCGGCAGATGAATGGATAAAGAAGATGTGGTACGTATATACAATGGAATATTACTCAGCCATAAAAAGGAACATAATTGGGTCATTTGTTGAGACGTGGATGGATCTAGAGACTGTCATACAGAGTGAAGTAAGTCAGAAAGAGAAAAACAAATATCATATATTAACGCATATATGTGGAACCTAGAAAAATGGTACAGATGAACCGGTTTGCAAGGCAGAAATAGAGACACAGATGTAGAGAACAAATGTATGGACACCAAGGGACAAAAGTGGCAGGGGATGGGAGTGGCAGTGTGATGAATTGGGAAACTGGGATTGACATGTATACACTGATGTGTATAAAATGGATGACTAATAAGAACCTGCTGTATAAAAAAGAATTAAGAGAGATATTAAAAAAAAAAGAATGCAAAGAAGCTTTAGGAAAAGCTTTACCAGTTTGGTTGGTGCACATTTTCCTTTTCATGTTTGCAAAAGCCTGATGCATGATAAAAATATATGATCAATTAAGTCTAAAAAAAAAAAAGAATACAAATAGGGCTTCCCTGGTGGCGCAGTGGTTGAGAATCCGCCTGCCGATGCAGGGGACACGGGTTTGTGCCCTGGTCCGGGAGGATCCCACATGCCGCGGAGCGGCTGGGCCCGTGAGCCATGGCTGCTGAGCCTGCGCGTCCGGAGCCTGTGCTCCGCAACGGGAGAGGCCACAACAGTGAGAGGCCCGCGTACCGCAAAAAAGGAAAACAAAAAAAAATCAAGTTCTTCTGATGCTACTCAGAGAAATGCCAACACATGTCAGATTTCTGTAAGTTATTCCATCTAAGTTTTCTTTTTAACTTTAAATGCATTAAAATGAATCCCAATGCATTAAACTCAACAGGTATCATTCTTTTTTTTTAAATATCTTTATTGGAGTATAATTGCTTTACAGTGGTGTGTTAGTTTCTGCCTTATAAAAAAGTGAATCAGCTATACATATACATATATCCTCTCCTCTCTCTTGTGTCTCCCTCCCATCCTCTCTATCCCACCCCTCTACGTGGTCGCAAAGCACCGAGCTGATCTACCTGTGCTATGCGGCTGCTTCCCACTAGCTATCTATTTTACATTTGGTAGTATATATTACTCCATGCCACTCTCTCACTTCGTCCCAGCTTACCCTTCCACCTCCCCGGTCCTCAAGTCCATTCTCTACATCTGCGTCTTTATTCCTGTCTTGTCCCTAGGTTCTTCAGAACCTTTTTTTTTTTTTTTTTTTTTTTCAGATTCCACATATATATGTGTGTTAACATACGGTATTTGTTTTTCTCTTTCTGACTTACTTCACTCTGTATGACAGACTCGAGGTACAGGTATCATTCTTATTCAAAAAATTACTTCCTGATGACACATAGGAGATCCAGGAAGACTTTTTTTACCTTCTGATAATGCCAGGGAGTGGTAGCATCCACAGGAGACTTGTATAATTTTCATACCAGTCAGAGTTTCTATCTTCCTATAATAAAAATGATACAAAATCTATTAATCCTTCTTCAGATTGGGCCACCAAGTGGACTACAGATATTTTAACTTATTTTCTTGTATTTCTGTACTATTGGATTGGCCAAAAAGTTCGTTCGGGGGTTTCCATAACATCTTATGGAAAAACCCGAAGGAACTTTTTATTCCAAAGCCTTCAAGCTATTTTAACATGTCATCAACATGTACAAAGGTGCAGGGCAGAATCCAAAACAATATATAATTCAAAAGTGAATTGGGCTTTTGAATTATTGGGCTTTTCACACATTGTATAATGTACTAACTTTTATGCTATACTTATCAGCCTAAAAGAAAAATAAATTTCTTCACACACATATAGTCCAGGGCTTTAGAATTTATAGAGTACTGTCACCTACAACACCTAGCTCACCCTGTGAGATAAAGATACCACTAGGTTGATTCCTATTAAATTGCCATTTTTGTGGATCAAAAACATAATTTCACACGGTTCAACCTAGGAAAACTCAAAGAGGCGAACTGGTATCAGTTGTAGAACAGCCTCAAACCTTGGGCTTTTTTTTTTTTTTTTTTTTTGCGGTACGCGGGCCTCTCACTGTTGCGGCCTCTCCCGTTGCGGAGCACAGGCTCCGGACGCGCAGGCTCAGCGGCCATGGCTCACGGGCCCAGCCGCTCCGCGGCATGTGGGATCTTCGCGGACCGGGGCACGAACCCACGTCCCCTGCATCGGCAGGCAGACTCCCAACCACTGCGCCACCAGGGAAGCCCCTACAGCAATCTCTTATACAATTTAATGAGCAGAGAAAGTAACAAAAGGTAACTTCCTAGCATTAAAAAACATGCTTTTGAAAATTTCCAATGCACGTAATTCATGAACACACAGTTCAGACTGCTTGTCATATCATTTGGCCTAGGAAGCTGTGTGTGAGGATGTGATTTTTTTCCCCCCGATTTTACTAAGGAAAATATTAGGATCCAGTGGCTTACGACAAGCCAAAAGGTTATGTCGGGAGGAAAACCTTTCCTCTTCCAACTTGTGTCCCATGATCCGGGACCTTCAGATTAACTGAGTATATACAGATTAACAGGAGAAAAGGCAAAGTTTATCTACATGTACAGACAGGAGCTCCCAGTAATGGAAAATTTGTACAATAGCCTGAGTAGAGGTGTACATATACTAACTTAGCAAAAGGGATTTATTTAGGGCTTCAGTGGGAGAGGATGGAAGGTTCAATTGGGTTTTTGATGCTGATCAGGCAGTTTGTCTTTACAACAGCTGAATTCATAGGAAACTCCCTCAAAGGGGGGTTAATGGCAGCTGTATTTTCAGGAGACCCTGTTTTAGTCAGGTAAGATGTCTCTCTGTGAATTTTCTGTAGCTCAAAGATTTTCGCTTTAGGGCTCCCCTGGTGGCGCAGTGGTTGAGATTCCGCCTGCCGATGCAGGGGACGTGGGTTCGTGCCCCGGTCCGGGAAGATCCCACATGCCGCGGAGCAGCTGGGCCCGTGAGCCATGGCCGCTGAGCCTGCACGTCCGGAGCCAGTGCTCCGCAATGGGAGAGGCCACAACAGTGAGAGGCCCGCGTACTGCAAAAAAAAAAAAAAGATTTTCGCTTTAAAATAATCTGTACACCAACTCTGGAGGTCCAAGTGGGTCCCACAGTTACTTCCAGTACCTAAGATTAAGATCACAGGGTCACAGGTTCTCACTTCATGCTGCCCTGCTCTTTCATAGCCTCTAATTAAATAACAACTGGTGTTATACCTTGTCTTCCCCCCTCCTTCCCTCACTACACTGGAACCCGGGAGGTTAGGGACTGTGTTTGTTATAGTCATCTTTGGACCCTGGTATCTTGCACGGTGCCTGGTACATGAAACTCAAAAATACTGAATGAATAAATGAATGAATTAAAATACGTACTTAGGCATAAAATTTATTTCCTTAAATTCTCCAATTCCCAGCTGTCCTTCAGAACCAGATCCCCACGCGAAGACCCTTCCTTTGTGACAGCCAGCCAGGGAATGCTCCTTTCCACAGCTGACCGTACAACATGTAGAGTCCCCAATGCCGGAATTCGTTCTTTAGGAACAAAAACAAAACCAAACCTCCCGTAAGATTGTTCATATAATACCAAGTTTAAGAAAGTACTTTTCTTCAAAAGGAAGGGTCACTGGGATTTCCCATCTCTTCCAATGACTTTTCAATCAAGGCCTAAGGTCCACCTTAAAGGTGTGAAGGAAATAGGCTCAGTGTGTGGCACTGTCCTTATGGGAATATGGCTGCTATTTAAAAGGGTGGGCATGTGGAGGAGGGAACCTGTAAGGACTTGCTGCCCTAACATTTCTCTATGAGGGTGGAGTCAAAACCCAGCCAGATAAAGGAGAGAAGATGGGATCACCCCTCCTCCATTCCTCTGACTTTCCAGCCCTGAAGAATGAGAACAGTGCATCCTTTGCTAAGGGCAGGGAGCCTGCCTGAGTGTGAGAGGCAGATGCCAGAGGCACTCACAGTGAAGCGTGCAGTAACATGCCTCCCAATGGGCCAGATGTGCCCACAGATGAAAACCTGAGCACATTTCCCTACAGGACAATCCAAGCTGTTCTCCCAAAGCGTTTGTCTCTGAATTATCGGAGGTTTGAAGTTAAGCACATCATTACCGGTAAAGTTTTTGTTAACACTTAAGTTTTCTTTTTTAATCTTGTCATCTTATCCTTTTCAATGATTTACTGTGCAAACTATGCAACGATAAAAAAATTCCCAAAGATTCATATACTCATGGAGGTGGAAACTGGTACCTTCTTCCTGGAGAAGAATTTGGCTTTAAGTGTCACATTGTCCCTAATTTCCACCTGAAGGGGATCAGAATATGCCACCCCAAAATATGCCACTTTGGCCTAAGGATGACTTTGAGATGAAGGCAACTGAGAATCAACAGATGCAGGAAGAGTTCTCTGCCTTCCCCTTATCAACTTAAAAGCATAAATTTGTGAAGTTGGCATGAATTTCTCCTGTGAAGGTGCACCCCCCTTCCATACTGGGAAGAAAAGAATGCCTCTTATCACCAGAGCTGGCACTGAGATGAGTCTGCATAAACAGCCCTTAGTAAAGTAACACTTATCTTCCATTAGTTTCCCTCATATACTTCTTTTTTTTTTAAGATGTTCATTACTTTTATCTTTTTTTTTAAATTTGTTTTATTTTTGGCTGCGTTGGGTCTTCATTGCTGCACACGGGCTTTCTCTAGTTGCGGCGAGCAGGGGCTACTCTTCGTTGCAGTGCGCGGGCTTCTCATTGCCGTGCCTTCTCTTGCTGCGGAGCATGGGCTCTAGGTGCGTGGGCTCAGTAGTTGTGGCGCACGGGCTTAGCTGCTCCGCGGCATGTGGGATCTTCCCGGACCAGAACTCGAACCCGTGTCCCCTGCACTGGCAGGTGGACTCTCAACCACTGTGCCACCAGGGAAGCCCCTCCCTAATATATTTCAAAGACACTTCTCCACAATTGATCATCCCTCAAAACCCAAACCCCCTGTTCTTTGTTAAATGGCATATAAGCTCCTAAGGCTAACCACTTCTTGAGTTTCACTTTTCTGTGAACTCCTGTGCACATAAAATATTCATAAAGTTGTAAGGTTTTTTTCTCGTTAATTTGTCTTTGTCAGTTTAGTTCACAGGCCCTCAATATAAGAACTAAGAGGGTAGAGGAGAAGTTTTTCCTCCAGACACATCTTTTGGAATTTATTTTAAGTAATCAGAAATTTGGTCAAATATTTACTTACAATAATGTCAATCATACTATTATTTATAAAAGGCCCTGATGAGATAAAAACAAACTTCCACAAGAGGAGAATAACTGAATTGTACTGTCAGAACCTGGAACGTTACACAACGATTTAAAATTTATTTTAAAAAATATATAATAAAAGGGCAATATGTTCATGATATTATGTTTGACGAAAACACAATTTACAGAGTTAAATTCTGCATATATAAAACTGTATAATGACATGATTTTATAAAGATTAAATGTATAATAGGAAAAAAAGGCCAAAAAAATGCATCAAAATATTAGTTGTCTTTGGGTGTTAGAATCGTAAGCGATTTCTTTCCCTGTGTCTCTACTGATATAATAATCAATAATAGCAAAATGCTATTATACATGTTTTTAATCTGAAGAAAAAAGACGCCCTAGGGTATTTCTGAGGGAGTTTCAGGTGTCCAAACCACAAACCACGTTTGCAAGGTCACTCTGTTCCAGACAGATTCGCAGAGGTAAGGACTGGCCCCAAAAAGCATCTCCGTCCAAGGGAACGCTGCGCAGTTTAGCGCAACTTTCAGTTTCGTTTTGAAGACGGAACAACTGGAAACCGAAACAAAGCCGAGGCGCGTCGGGAAAACGAAACGGGAAGCGTTGCGCTCAGGCTGCGCGGAGCTCCGTTCTCCCGTCTCCGGCGGCACGCGACCCAGCAGAAGTACGGGCCGCTCCCGCGCCCAGCCGCCTGCCCGAATCTGTGCGTTCTGCCAGCTGCGGCGCCCAAAGGCTAGGGACGGGTGCGCGCTGACTTCCCAGGAAACGGGAGGCTGGGTGAGCCGCGCCCTCGCTGGCGTCCCCCTGACGTCCAGCTCGCCCCCCGCGAACGGCTTTCGGGGGTCGAACCTGAGCGCCAAGTGTTGAGGAGCAGAGGGACCCCGGAGGAAGAGCGCCTCAATGTGCATCCTATCTTAGCTAAGCCACTTGAAAGCGCTGTGACTCTGGGCAAGTTACTTCCCGATTCTGTGCCTCGGCTACCACGTCTGTGAAATGTGGACAGTAATACAGCGAATCTAATGTGTTAGGATAATGTAACTGATAATAAATTGTGTTAGAATAATGCCTAGAGTACTTAATAAAAGCATCTGCGTGCCAGCCCTTTTTTAGACGGTTTTTGGCACTGGAAATGCAAAATCCTCATGGTGCTTACATTCTCCTATTTATAAACAGATAAATAAATATTTTGTATCATGTCGAGTGGCAACGTGAAGAAAAATAAAACAGTAAAGGAATGGAGGGTGAGGGCAGAAGGAGCTAGATTTTTTTTTTTTTTTTTTTTTT